CTATAGATATATTCATCATGTCTGTAAGGAAAATATTTGCTGAGTTTCGGAGCATTTTTGTGAAGCGCTCCTGTTCAAGAAAAAAAAAGCACAACGTTTTCTTGATATTGTGAGTGCACACAAATAAAAATAGACCCTTTACAGTTCCGAGCGATGTATTATCCTTACCTTTATGAGCAAAAATGACGGCATATTTAATTTGTTTCCACTGATGTCCTGACACAATTGGATATGCACCTAATAGCGCACATTTATCTAGGTTAAATGTTTAAACTAACATTGTGATATGCTTTAAGTATTTTATATCTATATATTTTATTTTCGGCAAGTCGTAATTACAACATCGTATACAGTGGTCGGCAACAGGTGGCCCGCGGGCCAAAACTGGCCCGCCAGCAATAATATCTGGCCCGCGCCCGCAGCCAGATTATTTTGATAGCGGCTGGTTCTGAAATAGATCTGTCATTACAGCAACAGTTACTCACAATCAGAGTATGTGAGCGGAGTGGAGCAGTGTGATTTTGACTGGAGTGAGGAGCAGATTTTTTAAAAGTCAAAGCGTCGTGGTTTTCACTTGCTCCAAGAGCCCTCCACCACCGCTCCATCACGAGTACAATTCATGCCAACGGCCTGTAATATAACTGCATATTTAGCAAGAATTCACATGTTAAACATTTAGCTAGCTTGATAGAGAAGGATCACTCAAATCAGAAAGAATGTGAAGGCTATGATGACGGCAATGAGCGGGAAGTTATAGTTCTCAAGGAATTTGTTTGTTCCTTATTTGACTATGCTCTGGCCCGCCATCTAGTGGCGAAAATGTTTTTGCGCCCAATGACAAACTTACTTGCCGACGCCTGTCGTATGGCATTGTCTCATATGATGCTCATAAGTTTCTTCATATTGCGTTAGTATCTGATAACACCAAATCAGTAAAAAGAATCAAAATTGCACTAGGAAAGATCTCCTGTTTTTGCACTTCCTGTTTTTCCCTGCTTGAGAATTTCTGTCCAATGAATGGATGACCTTAGCACACGTGTGGTTTTGTTTACAATTTCTGGTTCACTTGCGAAAAATGGCAGTGTGAATAATGCTTAATGCTTTGTTTTTCCTTCTGGAACATCAGTGAGCATTTGAACCTTTTGTATTTTTGTGATAACAAAGTTCAAATGTACAGCATATATTTGAAATAGAAATCTTTTGTAACATTATAAATGTCTGTACTGTCACTGTTGATCAATTTAATGCAAAAAAAAAAAAAAAAAACCTGACCCCACATAAACCAAACAAGAATGCAGCTTTGAGTTTCTCTCTCTATAATCGCTCTGTCTGCCCGTGTCTGCAGGTGGAGGTGAAACCCTACGTGCTGGACGATCAGATGTGCGATGAATGTCAGGGCGCTCGCTGCGGAGGAAAGTTCGCCCCTTTTTTCTGTGCCAACGTCACCTGTCTGCAGTATTACTGCGAGTACTGCTGGGCGAGCATCCACTCACGCGCCGGCCGCGAGTTCCACAAACCGCTGGTGAAGGAAGGCGGAGATCGACCTCGGCACGTGTCCTTCCACTGGAGCTGATGAAGCGGCACATCACCCTCTCCACCCACGGATCTCCCCTCTCATCTTGTTTTTAGAAAACAAATATCATGATATCTCTGTCAACTATATTCCCTGCTTACAAACACTTAGGAAAATATGAATTTTGAGTCTGCGTGCTCAAACGTTGCACTTTGGCACAAACAGTCGATGTTAACGCTTATCAGGATGTTGTGCTTTAATTCTATCATTATCCTTCGTTTGATCGGTTTAGTGCTCCATATAGGTAACATTAGGCAGTGTGAGACTACATATATAATATATACAGTACATTTACAAAAAGGATATATTTTTATTTTATATTTATCTATATACACACAGATAATACATTTTGGGTGTCAGACTTTTTAAAGGAGCATGCACTTATTGTGAAAAACAGAGTGGTAGGAATTTCCCCCCTAGATGTTGACAAAAACAGTTACCAAAGGTAAAAAGAATTCATTAAGAAAATCCTGTTTAAGTGAGCTGTTAAAAAAACCACACACACACTTGAGTTATTAGAGTAAAACCCCATTTGCTCTCCATGTTGAAATGAATAGTAATAGGCTACCTCATGCATGCATGTCTTTCTGTTCGCTTCAGTTTTTTAGGCTTAATTTTTTACGAGTTTTTTAGTATTATCTACATGTAATGCTGCAATAGCTTTTGCTGCTAAATCCATGGTATGAGTCCATACGGTCATACTTTATTCAGGTGAACGAGCGCGCCGAAGGGTCTGCGTCTGCACCGAAACTGCATGTTAATGAGTCTGCGATGCATGCTGTAAAATCGGGTCTCACTTTCATTTCCACCACGATGGACGAGCGATATGGAGCACTATGGATGATTATTTCCACCACAGGAAAAAAAAAAAAAAAAGATTTTTGTTTCACAAATCTGACTTGCGAGGGGGAGGAAAAGTCCAAATTGTGAAATATAAACTCAGAATCGTGAGGGGTAAAAAGTTTGAATTGAGAGACATAAACTCGCAATTGAGAGAGGAAAAAGTCAGAATTGTGAGATAAAAAGCTGCAATTACCGGTTTATTTTTTTAATTCAGTTTTTTATTTATTTTTTTGCGATTCTGAGTTTATATCATACGAAAAAAATTCAAGAATTGTGATATAAAGCGTCAGAATTCGGTCACAATTTGGAAAAATGTCCATATTGTGATATAAACTTCTTTTTGACTTCTGCGAGGGGGGAAAAAAAATCTGAATTGTTCATTTTTTTAATTCTTTTTTGTATTCCGTGGTGGAAACTCACAGCTCACAAGCTCACAATTACAATTTTGTAATTGTACGATCTCCTAGCGAAATGTCTTTAACAGGTGAAGTCATTTTTTAGCAGTGATTGTTCATAGAATTGTGCAATTTTTATACACTATGTAGTTCAGTTAGACGACGCCTAGAACTGTGATTCGCTTGAACTGTTATTGATGTCTGACATGGAACGTCCTGTGAAACTAGCATATGTAAACATATGGTCCCTTCTCTCCACGGATCTCGCACACTTCGACACGCGTGGCATCAGTACCAAAGAGCTGTCCGACTCGAAATGACCAATTACACTACGTTGCACGCCGATGAGTCACAATACTGTGTCCGACCGGTGACTCTGGGAGAATAAGCGAACACTGGCTCTAAATCACTAACCTAACTTTAAGACGGCGGGCGGAATTAGCTCGCGCAGCCGCAGCATTTATATCCAGATTATCCAGCAAAGCTTGAAGTAGAATCATGACATGTTGACGGGGGACATTTTGAAACTAAGTTGAGAGATGGTGCCGAGAGTCAAAAACGCTCAACTTTAGGTTGGCACGTTTAGTTCATTAGTCTGGAAGAACAACTAATGCGAACACTACTTTTGTACCGATGGAGAGAAAGAGGATTGTGGGTAACCCTGATCCCGACGATGGTGAATTCTGGGTGTGTTTGTGATGTTTTTCCCTGCCCAGATTTTTCTGTTCGTTCCTTCTGTGTAGTAAGATAATATTTATACACTACTCTTTGTATCTGGGTGGTTGAAAAGTCAGCGTTTTTTTTTTTAGAAAAAAAAGAATTTAAACATATTTTCCATTATTTTTTGTGTTTTCTTTACACACTTATTCCTCAACCATTAATGTTAGCTATTTCTGGGCGAGATTTTCATATCTGGTCAATGTCATTAATATTATTTTGTATTTTTATGTGGAATAAATTAAAAAAAAAAATTTTTTTGAAGGTAAAAACTAATATTGTTACTAAAATGTCTAGATTTTTGAAATGCAAAGCTTGTTGCCCATGGCCTGTAAGTCTCTCATGGGGTTCCAGTCATGCTCCACAAACACAACAGTATCTGCTCCAGTCAGATTCAAACCCAGCCCACCCACATGGGTAGTGAGCAGCAGAACATCTATGGACGGGTCATTATTGAACCTGTTGAAGGAAAAAAATAAATCCCATACAGTGACCCAAATGGAACTGCCCTTGAGATTAAATAATATTTCCAAGAATCTTTCTCACCTAGAGACTATAGAGTGTCTGAGGCCGGCCTGAACGCTTCCATCCAGCCTGAGGTAGGTGACGGTGGGCAGCTGTGCTTTGAGCAGATCCTGCTCCACGATGTCCAGCATGCTCTTCAGCTGGCAGAAGATCAGAACGCGGTGCTGGGCCACTACAGCCTCTGTGCCACCATCAGATGCTCCAGCAGAACCCAGTCCACAGTCCAACAGCAGCTACAACAGAAACCAGGACAAAAATAAATATATGCTGCTGCTACTACGGTGTTGTTTGCTTGTATTTTACACTAAAAGGCATTTATTGATGATTGGATGAAAATGACAAAAAAAAAAAAAAGGATTCAATCAGTTTGCCTGATATTAATCAAAATAAAAAGAAAACAATATTGGATACTGATGATTAAAAAAAATCAGTTGATACCGACTATTAATGGCTGAAATTGAGGTTTAAAAAAAAAATAACACTGACTGAAAAATTAACACTGGGGGATAAACTGGGAAAATTGCTTGATATTGATAATATAAACAAAAAAACAACAACAAATTGGCTGATATTAATTAATTATAAATATACATGCATACACACATACACACGTGTATATATATATATATATATATTTATTTACATTTAGCAGATGCTTTTACCCAAAGCGACTTACAAATGAGGACAATATAGAAGCAATCAAAACTAACCAAAGAGCAACAATATATAAGTGCAAATAACAAGTCTCGGTTAGCCTAACGCAGTACACGTAGCAAGGTGTGCACACACAAAGAAGAGAGTTTTGTTTTTTTAAATAAAAAATGAATGTAGAATTAAAATAGAACAGAAAGTGTTACAGTTAGAGGGTAAAATAAAGGTGGCCCTTACAAGAGTGCTAGTACAGAGTGTTAAAAGCTGAAGAGCTTCAGTCTGAGATGCTACAATGAGGAGACAGAAGTAAATAAAAAAAATTCACACCTGCTTCCTGCTCGCGTGAGGAACTTTTAGCATCTCGACTGGCGAGGATGGGCTTCCCATAGCGGGCAGCAAACTGACGCTCAGTACCAAGAAAGCCTGGCATCAGGAAGTCAAACAGAGACCACAACTCCAGAACATTGTTCTATAAAGACAAAAAAATACAAGTACAGTCATTAGCTTGTCAAATTCAAACTTTTGTGTGTTTCAATCCAAAATTCATCTATATGTCCGCAAAATCTGAAAGGCACACTACCATTCAGAGGTTTGGGTCAGTAAGATTTTAATTATTTTTTTAATAACTTAAAGTGCACCTATTATGCCATTTCCAATATTGCCTTTCATGCAGTGTGTAATGTAGCTGTAAGTGAATGCAAGCAATTTGCAAAGTTGTAAAACCGAAAGTGCACGATGAATAAAGTTACTGTCTCCCAAAAGAAAGAATCTGAACAGCCTAAACGAGTCGTCAGGCTACACGTCACAGGGAAACACATTTGCATAATGCCTGCCCCTGTTCTACGTTGGCTGGCCGCAAACAACTTGACCCCGCCCTCAAACACTGTAGCTTGTTTGTGTTGAGAAGATGTTGTTTCCTACACTGTCAAAGTAAATGTTTTTTCACTTCCAAAAGATGAGGCTGCAAAGAATCAGTGGTTAAAATAAAAAAACATTTCACTGTACCACAGCAGTACAACCTCAATCTTTTTTTGTGTTCCCGTCATTTTACTGACAACTGCTTCTCTAATCTCGGCGAGTTCAACACGGGATTCACAAAACGCTTGCTCTTGAAAGATGGAAAAAGTGAAAAAAAAAAGTGAAAAAAGGCATTTATGATGTTACACAAGATTTCAAATACTTTCTATTCATTAATGAATTCTGAAAAAAAAAAACGTACGTGTTTATCACTGATAATCACGGTTTCTTGAGCATCGAAAGAACAATTTCTGAAGTATCATGTGACATTGAAGACTGGAGTAATGTCTTCTGGAAATTCTCCTTTGCCAAAATTATTCTTTCTACTGACCCCAAGCTTTTAAACGGTAGCGTATACAAGCCATCGAAGAGTTCAGTTCTCACCTGAATGGGTGTTCCTGAGAGGATTATTCTGTAGTTGGCGGTTAACTGCTTGATCGCTTTAGAAAGTTTGGTCTTTCCATTCTTAATGACGTGACCCTCATCAAGGATACAATAATTAAATTTAATATCCCTGTATGAGAGAAAAAAAAACTATGAAATCTCATATTCCTTCCCCCACTGTATATGAAGTCCATGAATGATAAACATGTAATTAACAAGTTGTTACCTGAAAAAGTCAATGTCATTTCTAACGACATCGTACGAGGCAACAACGAGATTGTGTTTCTTCACCTGGTGCTGTAACCTGCATAGAATGAAATAGAAAATTGTACATGGATTTCCTATTCAATATCTTAAAATGGGCAACAAGTCAATAGCCATTTAACAAGCAGTTTCTTAAGATGGTACCATGCTCTTTCCGTAGGAGGGCCAGTATAGTGCAGAGGATTGAGATACTCTTTAGAGCAGAACTTCCCAACCTCATCCACCCAGTGTCCCGTCAGGGTGGGTGGGCACACTACTATGGAGGGCAAAGGGCAACAGTCGGGGGCCTTTGTCCTGGCATACTCCTGAGCCCTGTACACATGCAGCAACATTATTCAGCAGGTCAAATAAAGTCATGTATTTTAACTTTATTTAAATGCTGCAAAACACTTGGATGAAGTTGGTTTGGGGTAGGGCTGGACAATAATTCAATATCAATATGTATTGCGATATAATTCTTTTCAATAACGGTGATATGATTTTTAAAGATTTCCGATATACATTACCAGTGTTTCCCATACATTGATTTATTTGTGGCGTTTGACTTCGTTGAATAAACATGAGCACTGCACGTTTCAAAATCAAAATGCGTCGCGAGTGTTTTATATGAATGTATCTCTGAAGGGAACCAACTGTCTTCAGAAAAGTTTCGATGACATTTTCATTTGATCTGATAAAGTAGCGTTCATGAGTGGAGCTGCTTTGATTACAGCCGTTACCGGAGAAACCGCAAGTTCTACCACTTTCAATGCACCTCCTGCTGGCAGACAATCAGTTTTTCAATTTTCAATAAGCCAGTCTCCAGTATGGAGATAGAATTGTTGCTAAATTCCAAATAAATAGATTATGATCCACAAATAAATAGAATGAGATCCACAAATAAATCTTAAAGTTTCACAAACATGAATTAAATTAACATATAATACTGTGGCTTGGCATGATACACAGTCTAATTGTCTAACGAAATCCAGTTTTAAACATCTTTTACTGTACCCATTGTATGGCCCTTATATGACCTATTTGAGTCAATGCAGATGAATGAAGTTATCTCAGGACGAGACCGCCCTGATTGTAAAGCAAAACGTGATTGGCTATAGCGAGATCATGCTACGATTGGTCAGCGAATGTGGCTGTTATCTGATTGGCTTGAGTAGACGGTGGGTGGAGTCCACGTATTTGTGGATTGTCAGCACGTCTTGACGAAAGAAATGTTTCACAATTCGCAAATGCACAGGACGCGATTCACAAATGCGTGCAGCTATCTACAAATGCACAGGACGCGATTCACAAATAAATGCCAGGCAAAGTTGTGGCTGTGACAAATATATATTTGTGAATGTTTTTTATTTGCAAATCTAATTTTATTTATTTGTGAATTTAATTCATGTTTGTGAAACTTTATGATCCACAAATAAATAGATTATGATCCACAAATAAATAGAATGAGATCCACAAATAAATCTTAATCTATTTATTTGGAATTAAGCAACAATTCTATCTCCATACTCCAGCAACATGTTTTTGTTGTTGCTGTTTTTTTCTGCAGCAACTCAGAGCACTTTTCATATTCTTTATCCTGGCTGAAGCACATTTGTTTCAATCTATAACAATAAGCAGCCGCCCTACATTACCAGTCAAAGGTTTTTGAAAAGTAAGATTTTTAAATTTAAATTTTTTTTTAAGAATTCTCTTGCGCTCACCAAGTCTGCATTTATTTGATCCAAAGTACAGCAAAAACAGTAACATTTAGAAATATTTTCTATTTGAATATATTTTAAAATGTAATTTATTCCTGTGATCAAAGCTGAATTTTCAGCATCATTCCTCCAGTCTTCAGTGTCACATGATCCTTCAGAAATCATTCTAATACGCTGATTTGCTGATTATCAATATTCAGTTGAGTATTTTTTTTTTCAGGATTCTTTGATGAACAGAAAGATCCAAAGATCAGCATTTATCTGTAATAAAAAGCTTTTGTAACATTATACACTATACCATTCAAAAGTTTGGAGTCAGTATGATTTCTTTCTTTCTTTTTTTTTTTTTGGAAAGAAATTGTAGAAATTAATACTTTTATTTAGCAAGGATGATCAAAAGTGATGATAAAGACATTTATAATGTTACAAAAGATTTCTATTTCGGATAAATGCTGTTCTTCTGAACTTTCTATTCATCAAAGAAACCTGAAAAAATTTTACTCGGCTCTTTTCAACATAATAATTAATGATTTTTGAGCAGCAAATCAGAATATTAGAATGATTTCTGAAGGATCATGTGACAATTAATAAGGTGAGTCCGAGATGTTTATTTGACAGTGATTTCACATTTCTTGTTTGTATGAAGGCTAAATACAAATAAAAGGTGAACAGTAATTTATTTGTGCTGTTTTTTTCTTCTAAAGCATTATATGGTTTTATATGAGGTGTCATAGACTTGGCAAATTCATTTTTCATAAGTTTGTATGCACAGACATCTGTTGTGGGCGTTCTTGGCAGTTTTTACAAGGCTTTTTTTAAATAGTGTTCATATCGATATCGGAATTATATCGTATCGACCGAAATTAAGAAATATATTGTGATATAAATTTTGGCCATATCGTCCAGCCCTAGTTTGGGGTGTACCTGAGGAAATGATCGCCTGCCAGAATACAGATGGACTGCAGGGTCTTACCCAGACCCATATCATCACACAAGATCCCATGAAGCTTGTACTTGTTCAAAAATGCCAGCCAGTTCACTCCATCCTACAAAAGAGAACCGGACGAACTTGTATAAAAGCAACGATTGAAAATCGCCAGCGATTTATGCAGTCAGACTTTTTTTTTTTTTTAAATTACAGTTCTTAGCCTCAGACTTTCTTTTTAATTACAGTTCTTAGCCTCACTTCAATCTCAGGATTTGCCAAAAAATAAAGACATTTCCATGGGCAGAAGCGTACAAAAGCAAACACACCTGTTGGTATTTCCTGAGCTCTGCTTTGATGGGCACAGGAATCTTATAATTTTCCAGTTTCCTTCCATCAAGCAGCTGCTCAAGGAAGTGTCGTTCTCTGGCCTTCTGTCGAATTAGATCTTCAGACATAGACGGCGGGTCTGGGATTCCAGCCTAAAAGGAACAAAAAAAACGATGATGAAAAGGAAAAAAGCTGCACTGAAGTAACAAAGTGATGAGCTCCAGCGTAGAGGGAACAGACATGCCGACATTCCTCACATCAGACGCTCTGCTGAAAGTCTTACATCAGCAATAATTATTAAAAGCATGAATGCTGAACTGTGCTGGTTACTGATTGCTCACCTCAAGAGGAAGCAGTCGGATCAGGGTTGCAAAGCACTGTGTGGCCATGAATCGCACGCTGTCCCCGGGGTCACTCATACGGCCCAACACAGGGACCACCAACAGCACGATGTAGGGCACGATATCCACATCCAATTGCTCCATCACACCTGGACACTGTGCTCAGGGATAATAATTTGTGTTCTGAACACCACTGTACACACACTAAATGTTAGTACACTACGGTTTAAAATTGAGGTCGGTAAGATTAAGCTCACCATGGCTGCATTTATTTGATAAAAACAAAACAACAAAAACAGTAATATTATGAAATATTACTGTTTAACAGTTTTCTATTTTAATATGTAATTTTTTCGATGGCAGAGCTGAATTTTCAGCAGTCCTTAGTCCAGTCTTCAATGTCACATCAGATCCTTCAGAAATCATTCTAATATGCGGATTTGCTGCTCAAGAATAAAAAAAATATATATATATTTAAAATGGAAATCTTTTCAAACATTATACATGCTTTTAACGTCACTTTTCATCCATTATGTGTTCTTGCTGAATTAAAGTGTTAATTTCTTACTACTAATAACAATAATAATCATCTTACTGACCCCAAACTAGTAGTACATCTTACTCTATTTCTAAGAATTTAGGAAGCATTATAATTTAACACCTTCGTGAAATGCAAAGGCATTTTTAATACAAGAAAATAGCTTGATTTTGATTCGTGACATGCAGAGGATACAGGCCAGGGCTTCAATGGCTCCCTCCTGCTTGGTGTGGTCATCAATAGCACCCAACCAGGGAAGCACATATTCCAGAAACACATTCATGGTCTCCATAGTAGCAATCTTGCTGAGCACGCCCACACAGCGCGCGGCCATGTGACGTACGGCTGTATATGGATGTTGCAGACAGGTGCACAGGAGAGCCAACTGCTCCATCAACTGCAGATACGGAGACAAGAGGAGACTGGTTAAAACTGCCATTGTTAACGGAGTGATACTAGATGTTCTTGAAGTTTTATGTGCGCATGTGTCCATACTAAAGGGATGAGCTCTTGGGACATGGCTCCTGTTGTGACCTCCAGCACCTGCAGAGAGTTCACAAGCTCCTGAGCAACCGAGTCACCCTGCTTCAACAACTGGCTGGAATCTGCAACAAAGACCAAATGAGCAGCAGGAAGAGCATTTACTAAAGGAATGGTTCAACCAAAAATGAAAATGTATCCTTAGGCCATCCAAGATATAGTTCGTCTATTAATTGAAACAGATTTGGAGAAATGTAGCATTATATCACTTGCTCACCAATGGATAGTTCAAAATGATAAAAGCATCACAATAAACAAAAAAGGTGCATGTTTGTAATGAACAAATACATCAACACATTTTTAAACTTCAAACTGCTGCTTTTGGCTAAAATAAGAGTCCTCTATCTATAATATTGCTTTCTCCAGTGGAAAATGAAGAAAAAGTCTTGTCTGAATCAGGAGAGAAAATGCTGTGATACTACATTTCTCCAAATCTCTTCCAATGAAGAAAATCTCATCTACATCCTGGATGGCCTGAAGGCAAGTACATTTATCAAATTTTCATTTGTCTGAACTATAAAGAGCTTTTTACAAATCTCAATTCATTTTAATAACAAAAAAAAAAAGTTACAAACAAAGTTAAAGCAGACATACCAAATCCCTGAGCATTCAGCGCATTCCTCAGTGGACCGGTCATGGACTCCCACAGATATGGCAAAGTTTTTGACAGCTCCTTACCAAAATGCCTGGCAACGGTCATCAAGCAGAACTCTGCCCCTCTCCTCTGGATAAGACACGGCTTCTTGCTCTAGGTCGTATTACACAGAGACTGTTAGCATCACTCATATGAGATCACTGAAGAGAACACCGTAAAGCTGCTAATTATAACGCTGCAAATACCTCATCTGTTTCTGTGGTAATGCTGCCTACGAGGGGCAGGTCATTGTTGGTGGTTTTGGGGGCTTTGGGTGTGGGTCCTCTCTTACTGGTGATGGCAAAAGCTGCTTTCTGATGCCGGTAAAGGGTGATGATGCCCTTTGTCTTGTTCACCATGTGATGCATCGCATCCTTCTCTGCCACAGATGCTGCAGGATAGATTAAATGCACAACACCTCTAAAACCCTTGAAACAACAAGTCTCACATCAAACCGCAACATGCAAATTGAATAGGATGCACCAAAATATATTTCTTTCTAGACACCACCAATATGCTTAACAAATAGGACTGCCAATTCTACTGCTGGGGAAAAAAAAGAAAAAAAAAACCCTACAAAAACCTTTTTTTTGTATTTTTTGCAATTTTGCTATTGCAATTTTATAAAAATCATTTTAAATGGGCCAGAATGGACCTTAAATGTAGAATTAGTAGAAATAGTTTATAAATGCGTCACATAAATTGAGACACTTCACAAACAATTTATGCACAAATTCATTCTGATCCTGTTTCATTAATATGGCCAATGAAAATATGAATGGGAATCGGAGCTATGGTCTTCCGCTCACCCTTACTGCTCTCTTGTATTGCTGGAGTGCTGGCTGGAGGGACAGGACATGCAGCACTAGGGGTGAGCTTTGGATCTACACACACAGAGCTGCAGAGATTCTTCACGATCTTGGCATTCGGACAGGGAGATCTGGAAGCGCACAGCTGCAGCAGGCGGGCGATGTTAGAGGCCGCGTAACCCTGGACGAGCGTGTTCTCTTCGCGGCGGGCCGCCTCCATCAGGGGCCTGACAACAGGATTGAGTTTATCCGGCAGCATGGCCAGTCCTACCACAGCACAGGCACTGAAGGTATGAACTCTCAGCTGCAGCTGCTGCCACTCGGCGCTGGTCTCGCACACAGTGGAACGAGCCTGCAGCCTCTTGCTATCCAGCAGCTGAAACTGACTTGACTTGAGGTTCAGAGAAGAGGTGCATTCTGAGAACATGGTGGTCACCTAGAGAGCCAGGGGATGAATAAGCACCTGTACTTAATATCATAATACTCATTATAATCATCATCATACTAATATATATATATATATATATATATATATATATATATATATATATATATATATATATATATTGGCAAGAATTTACCTTATTCTTGAAATTAAAGTAGAATGCTCTAGAACTCCAGAGTTTTTTCTATCTCTTGGGAGTTTTTTTACTAACCAGCTCGTTAGCCTGATCGATGGTGAATACAGTGGAGTTGATTCTTTCTCTCACGTCAATGTGGGCATCAGCCAGCAGCGCTATGAGCTGTTTACATTCATTCTGCATGCGCGTAAAAGGAATGGCGATCTCATCGTAGTAGAGTTGCTCTGACAGAATGACCAGCAATCGGGGCTGAACCACACTGGACAGCAGCTCACACTCCTGTGACGCAGGACAGCACTAACCGTCATTAACATGTATAAAAATAAACCTGACACTGACCCTCTCCCACTCTCACCTTCTGAAGGCCTGCCCACTCACAGATCACCATGGAAACCGCAATCCGCTGCAAGGCCGATTTGGAATTGAGATGGAACAGTAAAAGTTGTGCTAAAGACTCCGCAGGCCGTAGTTCCTGAGAAGAGCTATTCAACCTTGGGTCACATATACAACTGCACAGTGCCCCCAACAGCCTAGGAGGACACAAAAGCAGTTAGACTCAAATATGACACAAAAACAATAAAGTTTAAAGAATTCCCCCTCCACACACTTTGCAGCCATGAGACGTGCACGTGTCACCACATAGTCTCTCGTGGCAGGGTCTTCGGTAACAGTCTCTGCTCCCCCGATGTACTCCTGGACCGTTTCCTTGACTGGAACAGATCCCTGTCGGGTCTTTCCAGTAGCCTTCTCCTGCGGAATAACAGAATGAAGTTCAGAGCAGATCTGCTTCTGGATGAGTGGGAAGTGTGAAGGTTGTAGGATGGATTAGTCTCAGCCTCAGACAGTATGCCCACGGACCACCCACAGTCCATTCGCTGACTGTCTGATGCATACTGTACAGAAAAATCAACCCCGGAAAGCACTCTCTCAATCTAGGGAGTGCTAAACTTGTGTAAAATCTGCTTTCTTTGAATCATATCTGTACTTATTACTTTTGGACAGGCAGAAAGTTTGTAGCACATATATAAGTTTGGGGTTGGTAAGACTTAATGTTTTCAGGCTGCATTTATATGATTCAAAATACAGTAATATTGTGAAATTGTTACAATTTTAAATATATGTTTTCTATTTTAATACATTTTCGAATGTAATTTATTCCTGTGATGGCAAAGCTGAATTTTCAGCATTGTTACTCCAGTCTTCAGTTACATCATTCAGAAATCATTCTAATATGCTGATTTGCTGCTCAAGAAACATTTCCTATGTTGAATAGCGGTTTAATATTTGAATAAAGCTGTTAAATATTTTTGTAAGGATTCTTCAATGAACAGAAACTTCAAAACAACAATGCAAAAGTCTTTATTGCCATTTTTTATAAATTTCATGCATTGCTGCTGAAAAAAAAAAAAACTATAAATTTCTTTAAACACAACACGGTAGTTCACATATGTAAAACCATTTGAAGTTGTGGATGTGATGCTGTATAAGGTCAAATTGATTCTTTATTCCAGTATAGCGCAGGTAAAGGGACCTCCACCCTCACCTTTAAGCGGGCTTTCACTTCCAGCAACATGTTGGGTTCTATTGGGATGTGTGGTGCTTGCATCATCAAACAGAGCCAGGCGCCCATCCAAGGACAGCTGGCCGCCACCACATACTGCTGCGGGGCCTGTCGCAACAACTCCCCCCACACCTAGAAAACCATCAACATATTAATAAGCTAATTAACATATCAATCAGACAAAACATTCAAAGAGTGGAACAGAGAAAGTCATGCCTTCTGTATCAGCTCTAGGATCTCCTGGTTGCTCTCCAGTATGCAGGACTGAAAGATGTGTCTTAACATATCCTGCATGATGGGATTCAGCCACACTGCACAACTCTGGCGGGAAAAATATAAATCAAAGCAGAAAACAGGAAAGAAGAAATACTTCAAAACTGAAAATATCAATCCTTCATGTGCATTTGACTTCACACAGATTATCCAACCTGGTCAGCTTTGGAAAGCAATGTAAAGAGGGTCTCTAGGGCAGCCCGACGAACAGAAGCAATTGTGTGTCTCAGGAATGGCCATACTCGAGGAACCAACACTGTGAGAGACTGTTGTGTGCTGGTAAAGGAAAAACAGGATTTTGGTTTCCCTTTTATCATTGTCAGGAAATGTGGTATTAATGGCAATGAACACGAGAGCTCCTTTCATATTTCAATAGAGAAATCTCACCTGCACTGGCGGACCTGTGGGTAAGCAAGCAGGGAGGACAAGAGGGTCATGATGCTGTTAGTTGAGGCTGTGAGATCATCCAGTTCCAGCAGGGCATTCCACAGTGTGTCCACAATAAAGGGAACCTATAAAGCATACATGCAGTTTATAGATATGGAGGCATTAACCTAGAGCAATTGCTGCAAATAAGTGCTAGATGTAAAGACCCCAATATAGTTCAAACAAAAATCAAAGAACTAAATTGTGTGATGCCATTTCAAATCAAATCATGCCAAAATTAAATTTGTTTGGAGTTTCAGAAGTTCAAAGCAAACTTTCCAGAAAAGTTTGCTTTAGCTTATAAACACCTTTGGACTATCGTAGGTCCATGGTGACTACGTAATAGGTAGAAGTGCTCTAGACCTCCGGTATGCAGAGTGCCGTAGGCACAGACACTGGCAGTGACAGACCAACATTAGACTATTTTAAGATTATCAGCATCTGTAGATAAGACATGCTCTCTATAGATCCACACTGGCTATTATACCTGCACTAGCTGTCAAATTCGAGTGAACTTTGAACTCAGACCTTAGTAGGCAGTAACTGAACCAATCCATCCACCACTGGGATCAAAGCTGCTGCTGCCACTGCACGAACGTCATCATCCAGATCCCGCAGGCCTTCTGTAATGGCAGGAAGAACCTGGGGCAGCAGCTCTGCGATCAAATCCTGAGGGTCAGCAAGGTGTGAATGTCAATCACAAGTTAAACACATGGAGCATCTAGCATGTCACTTTCAAACTCCGCCAATAAGAATTTGAGTCTTTTCCACCTGTCTGACGGCAAGAGCGTATTTGATGCCCAGCAGGCCTCCGTGTCGAACCTCCCACTGGTCTTCAGTTAGCAGCTTAAGCAGAATGTCCACAGTCATGGCAATGCCACTGTCTGCCATGTGCCTCAAGGCCACACCCAGAGTCTGGGCACACGTCTCTCTGACAGGTGCAACCACCTGGAACGAAGAGAAAAATGAAATGCTTCATGACAAAGAAAACAAAAGCAGTGCCATGAATACATAAAATGGAAAAAAGATCTCTAGTCTTTCTTTAAGGAAGAAAGAAGCCCACACTAATTAAAAACAATAACACCCAATTTTAATATACAAAAAAAAAATTTGTTCACTACGCCAACACATTTAGGGTGTGTTCACACTTGTAGTTCGGTTCGTTTGGTTCATTTGGTCCGGACCAAAAAGAAAAATGATACATTTGGTCCCAGTCCGCTTAGCGTTAACATTGGCATTTTTGACAGCGAGCCTAAAGACACCGAACCTAAAGGCATAATGATACGTTCACAACCTGATTGGTCGGCTTGAATGACATATATATGGTGACGGAACTCACAAACACCCCAAACAAAAGGTGCGTTAGACTTAAAAGGCACAACATGTACGATTTTTTTATTAAAATAACACTAGTTATATTACACTAAACACTAAAATATATAACACTAGTGTTATATATTTTGCTGACTTGTGTACTTGCACTATCCCAAATGTTTCGAAGAATGTTTAAATCCAGAGAAATAAGTAGTGATCGACCGATATTGACATTTTATAACCAATACCAATTATTTGCGTGTTTATGTGCCCGATAACCGATATGCAGAACCGATATTTATTTATGGTTATAAAGTAAATAAATGACTGAGTGAAGTCTTTCATGTTAAATTTAATCTTCATATTACAACAATAAAAAAACATTTTATTTAAAGCATCAGCAGCAACACTAATATTAACAATAAGCAAAATAAATGTAGAAGGTCTAATGTTTTCAAATGGAGAAAATAAATAAATGAAAAGAGTCATACCAACTTCAATTTAAACTACAGTTTTAGTAGGTTTATAAGCCGTTTAATAGGCTAAAGAGTGAAGAATAATTCACTGAATAATATTCTTTGGAATATTGAAATATAACAAACAAAACATTGTATTTTATTGCATTTCTCACCTGGCATGTTATATCAGAATTACTAAATGTTTTTGTCGTTCTAGATTATGAAATGCCTGCTGACAGCGCAGTTTATCTATGCATTTACACAGAACTATACTCAAACTGCGATCGCTCGCAGAGATAATAAATTAATTTCCATAGAGATGTATTTATTTAGATGTTTATTAGCGAAATAATGGTTATATAGTAAATGTTAATACAATTTAGGGGTGTTTTAAACAAGTGAATCTTGTTAAAAGTTACATGCGGTGGCCGTGCTGGAGCATTTCCTGAGCATCAACCCGGTGAGTGAACAGCAATATGAAAGCGGCTTCACGAGACTAATGATGAGCAAATATACAACAGAGAGAAGCAAATTTAGCGTTTTTATTTCCAATATGCACTCATTCATGGCTGTATTATTTAATTAATGCAAAGTTACGTCTTTATTGGGAGCATTATAACAGAACTTTCAAACATATCTAGTATGATAAAACAGCGCTGCTTTTTTTCCCCACATACGCACGACCGGAAGCGGTCGACAGTGGCATAATAAAAGCTCCGCTGCTTTCAAGCCGTGTCATGCTTGTTCAGCGGCCTCTTTTCGCTTCGACGGCTTTCAGCCTCACCCTGCTTCATTCTACTACGTTAATAAATCATTAGCTCATCCATGAACATGATTTCTGCCCGAGTCTCGTCGGATTGCATCGGCTGTGGGGATGAAGACGACAACTCCCATGATTCCACACTCAGACATACTTTCCAGGGGCCATTCCGGAGTCTGTGAAAAAATAACAAATAAATATTAGACAGACACAGATGAATGTTAACAGCTCAATGAGTGAAAGAAAAAAGCAAGCATGTGTGCATGTCTCACACCTCCTCAAATAAACTGGTGTTATCAGGGACATTATCAATTAAGACTTTGCTGTTGGTTGCTGGCTGCTCAATGACTACATTTGTGGTTTTCCGGCGCTTCTCCTCTGGCTCTCCCTCAAAACTGTCATTGCTGTGGCAAGGGAACATAAGAGCAGTGGTCAGACTGACCGCCAACACCCCCATAAACAGTCATTATCGAAGTCAACATGAAACACTGTTTACAGGGTTGGGAGTCTTCAGGCACATCACCATCTGATTCTGAAAATGATTTTCAATGCATCCCTAGGAGTGCAAGAGGTGGCAGTGTAAAGCATAAAAAGTTATTCTAGAATACATCTGCTCTGAGTTTTTTGGGCTCAAAAAACTATTATTAATTTATTTAAAATGACATTTAACGAGACATTATTATTTAATTGTCAAGTTTTTGGTCACCATTTCCGAACAAACTTATGATTAGGGCTGGGTATCGTTTGGGTTTTTTTCTATACCGTTGCCAAATCGATACTTTTAAAACGGTTCCGGTGCCTAAACCGATATTTATTAAAGAATAGAGAAAGCTAGTGTTAGAGGCTCTTTTTTCTTTATAAATAAAACAAGTACAACAAGAGCTGCAGGAGTCAGCTTTCACTGACCACAGGTCGAGAATAAGGAGAGATGACTGACAAGACCATGCTGGAGTATTTGCTGCTCAACAGATTCGGAGCTCATTGACAAAAATCTGATCTTGTAAGATGTGCTCCCTTTACACAGAGTGCGTGTGATCGCGAAATCGAAAGTAAACCGCGCAAACGCTCATTCAAAAATATTTAAATACTCCGCATATTGAGAGCGCCCTGATGCGCCAAAATTATATACAATATTAGAATGTTTAAAGGAGTGGACACGAAAATCACGGGAGCGAAACACATGTTGCGGGAGCAGGCGGCAATGGTCAGAGATTCAGCGGGAGCGAGATTAAGAAAACAGCCGAATCCTGGATATTTTGGGCAATTAAGAAATCCCGGCCGGACGCATTTTTGATGGTGGCAGATATATCGTGCATCCCTAACTGAAACCACGCCGCCTTTGCGTGCACATCTGGGCACATTATGCAAATATTCCCACATAGTGACCTAGATATGTGGGGGCATGTTAGAACGAGCCGTTTTAGGGGTGTGGGGGGTGTGGCAGAGTCTTAACTTTGATAAAGAATATCTCGGTTTTGAGACTTTAGTCTTTGCAACTTCAGGGATCTTGTCTATTCACGAACAGCTTGTAACACTCCAAAGAGAAAGGAAAACTTGAAATCGCATCATATGACCCCTTCAAGCATGTTTAGCTTAGTTAACGGAAGGCTACCTGCTGTCATCAGAGCAAGTGTAATTACTGCATTCTCATTTCCCGAGTAGTGCTTTTAAGTCGGAATGTGAAAACAACATGGACACTCTTGTTACTACAAAGATGTGTTGGATTTGTATTATTAGAGCTTTCCGACTGGTTCACGTGCATTTTCTCAGTCGGGAAATTATTTTTCAATAGGAAATATTTCAATTGATCGCTCCGGCATGGCACCGAAATCTGCGTTCTGATTCGGGTTTAGTACATACCGGTGCCATATTGGGTACTGGGTTTCGGTACCCAACCCTACTTATGATTAGGCATTATACACAACAATGTTCTACAACAACATTACGTTATCTCTCAAGGTTTTCATTTAGTTGAAAATGTGAGAATAAATAAATACATACACATATACAGTGCTATGAAAAGGTTTTTGCCCCCTTCCTGTTTTTTTTATTTTTTGCATATTTGTCACACTTGAAAGATTCAGATCAAACTAATTTTAATATTACACAAAGATAATGCAAGTAAATACAAAATGCAGTTTTTAAATGATGATTTCTTTTATTAAGGGAAAAAAGCTGTCCAAGCATGCCTGGCCCTACGTGAAAAAGTAATTGCCCCCTAAATCTAATAACTGGTTGTGCCACGCTTTGCAGCAACAACTGCAATCAAGTGTTTGCGATACCTGGCAATGAGTCTCACATCGCTGTGGAGGAATTTTGGCCCACTCTTCTTTGCGGAGTTGTTTTAATTCAGCCACATTGGAGGGTTTTCGAGGATGAATGGACTGTTTAAGCATCTCAATCGGATTTAATCTTTAATTCGGACTTTGATTTGGCCACTCCAAAACCTTAATTTAGTTTTTCTGGAGCCATTCAGAGGTGGACTTGCTGGTGTGTTTGGGATCATTGTCCTGCTACATAACCCAAGTGCGCTTGAGCTTGAGGTCACAAACTGATGGCCGGACATTCTCCTTCAGGATTTTCTGATAGAGTGCAGAATTCATGGTTCCGTCAATTATGGCAAGTCGTCCAGGTCCTGAAGGTGCAAAGCAGCCCCAGATCATCACACTACCACCACCATGTTTGACTGTTGGTATGATGTTCTTTTTATGAAATGCTGTGTTGGTTTTACGCCAGATGTAACGGGACACACACCTTCCAAAAAGTTCAACTTTTGTCTCATCAGTCTACAGAATATTTGCCCAAAATTCTTGGGGATAATAAAGATATTTTTTGGCAAATGAGAAGAGCCTTTGTGTTCTTTTTGGTCAGCAGTGGCTTTTGCCTTGGAACTCTCCCATGGATGCCGTTTTTGCCCAGTCTTTTTCTTATTGTTGAATCATGAACACTGACCTTAATTGAGGCAAGCATCAGACTTCAGTTCACATTACAACAGAGTGACGACTTTTCTTGTATGTTTTCCTATTTAAAGTTATAAGCATGTACGGTAAACCGGTATGTTTTTTTTTTTTAAACGGCATACCGGTTTTTAATGTTTTACAAGTGCCTATGCAATGCAGACGGCATCGTGAATTGAGAGTTAACTGTTAACTTAGCCTGCAAAGATCGAAAGATTCGCAGCACATTAAAACGCCACACTCTTACTAGATCTGCACAAACTGTGCATCGTTAGAAAGATTAGACTCCAGCTTCGATATTTGAACACTGTTATGATAAAACTCAGTTGCAGGGACAGTAATTTTTTTATTTATGTCAGGAGTGCAAAATAATCGGTTAATGTATGATATTTTGAATAGAATAGCATCACGCGTTCATATTCAGTCACGGCTGCAGCGGTTTATTTGTGTTCACAGAGCTGCACTGAAAACCGTCCATCAGGGCATACAGTGCAAAAGTGTGCATTCTTGGAGAAATATTGAAATATTTGCACGTTTACTTCCGATTTCATCAGACAGAGTCATGTATATATATATACTTACACACACATATATATATATATATATATATAAAATAAGGGCTGTCAATAGATAAAAAATTTTAATCTGATTAATCACACCCTTTTTCTGTGATTAATCACACACTTCATGAAATTAAGCATAGACCATTTATCTTGTTTCAAATGGTAATTTTGTCATAATTTGCTATATTGAGCAACGTAAACCAAAAGATTGAAGGGTGATTCTCAAAAATCTGTATTTTCTGCAATGTAGATGTCTTTCCAAAAAAGGACTCCAAAGAACCAAATGATATAAGGAGCCCATATAAGCACATCTGAAAGAAAAAAAAATATCTGAATTGTATAGTATGTGTACAGTGCAACAGCAAATAGCTTTTTTACATTTTAGAGAAGTTGAGTTGCGATACCGGATTAATCACACACTTCATGAAATTAAGCATAGACCATTTATCTTGTTTCAAATGGTAATTTTGTCATAATTTGCTATATTGAGCAACGTAAACCAAAAGATTGAAGGGTGATTCTCAAAAATCTGTATTTTCTGCAATGTAGATGTCTTTCCAAAAAAGGACTCCAAAGAACCAAATGATATAAGGAGCCCATATAAGCACATCTGAAAGAAAAAAAAATATCTGAATTGTATAGTATGTGTACAGTGCAACAGCAAATAACTTTTTTACATTTTAGAGAAGTTGAGTTGCGATACCGAACAGGACCACATGGTGATGCCAAAAAACGATCAGCACTATTTTTTAAAGTTTGAAACAACTTGCCAATACACCGGACCGGAGTCCGGTAGACACGGTGTTACTATACTCCTTCATTTGTGGTCATATGAGAGTAAGGGTGTGTTCACACACACCCTTACTCTCATATGACCACAAAGGGACATTAATAATGTCCCTAAGACATTATTCAAAACTATTCTAAATTTTCCTTTATTTGTGTACATTCACAATTAAAACAAAACATTGTGCTTTTGTAAAATAAAGGAAACAAACAGGATGCCACTTTCTCAAGAGTGCATCACAAAAATGACGAAATTCTGCATTTAGGCTGCTAATTGTTGCAGTTTTTTTTTGTTCTTTCATTTTGTTAATTTATTTAGAAAAATATATTTTGCATATAGGCCTATTTATTTTATATTTAGATTTATAATGTTCTTCTCCATTCGCAGAAGCACTGCAGATGTGTGACGTGACCATGTGAATCCTCACGTTCTGTTGTTTATGCTGCTTTTTGAGCGTATAAAATTAATCCCAGGAAAACAAATTTAGGTATTTTTATTGGGTCATAGAAACGTATCAATTCAAATTTAATTGTAATTTAACAATCTTGTCGGTTAAAAATGTCTTAACCATCGGTTGTTCGTTACGAGAAATAAAATAATTTCCTCTAAAAGTTAATGTGATAAAAGTATTAGCAATTAATCACAACATCAAAATTTGAGATCACCACATGCATATATATATATATATATACACACATACACACACACACACACATATAAGAACAAAAGCATTCAAGCTTAGATAACGGAAAAAAAAGCATACCGTACCAATTACAGTACAGAACATACATACACTTGAGTCGGCCTATGTTTATAAATGTTTATATTGTTTTACATGTAAGTGTTGAAAAAAAACAATAATATCCACATGCTCGGACACTACCAGTGTCTGTGAAAGTTGGCTCCTCAGTCTGATAACAATAAGAACGCACGCTGACACAGACGTTCCAGAGACGCAAAGATAACAGAGTGCCAAGCTAAATTTCTTACAGTGCTTGGTGTTTTCTGTTCTTAAACCACTCTCCCTCAAGGAATCTTAAAGGGGTTCTATTATGCATTTTCACTTTTTCAACTTTAGTTAGTCTGTAATGTTGCCGCTTGAGCATAAAACAGATCTGCAAAGTTACAAAAGTTCAAAGTCCACTTCAAAAGGAGGTATTTTATTTAACAGAAATCACTTTTCAAAAACTACAACGAACGACTCGTTTGGACTAAAACAAAATTTTTCCGGGATTTGAGATATCACAAATATCGACGAATGGGACGAGACCTGGTTGAGCTGCACTAGAGAAGGCAACGAGTGTTATCACTATGTCGGAGACACACTAGCTTTCCCAAGGCAGACCAACTTAGAGTGGTTACAATCATCCGGGTTTAAATCGCACTCAAATTGATTTGATTTTGACAATATTTACACTGAAGCTCGCAGGTTGGGGGCGTGACATTTCCCGACCAGCCGCCGAGTGCTGCCAATCACAACACTCACTGGCCCAGCTAACCAATCACAACACATTTCGGATTTCAGATGGCGGGCCTTCATTTGATACAGAAACTATTCGAGCCATTCATGCCAGACTGGGGAGAGAGGTGTTGTAATAATGTAAAATATGTGAAAAATAATGTGTTTTTTCAAACAACCTAGTATGAGAGCCTGTTCTAGTACACCCCCAAAACAAAATCAAGACTTCGTAAAAGAACATATTAGGACCCCTTTAAAGCAAGCATATGTCTCAAGACCATTTGACTGTCAGATAAGCTCTCTTCTCTGCTCACTCAGGGTACCGCTGCGCTCACCTGCAGTCATGAATGCACTGATGGACAGCCGTCTTTCCTCTGTCGACTGCTGTTTGAATTTCATGTGATCTCTCATTGTCGTGGTGATATTATGATGACTCAGTTTGACTGATTCATTTGATCAAAAGTAATTCCATTTTGTAAGATCATTTAGAAAGATCATTTTGATCAAAGTAATTCCAAACTTCGCGAGGAAGACAATGACATTCTGTGATCGAATACAATCGACTTGACGCGCTCCACAGCGCCAACCAGTTAATTTAGTTATAACGGATTTTTAGTTTGCGTGCTTAGGATTTATCATGGATTCCCTGCATTTATGGCCAGCAAAGCAACAAGTAATAAAATTAATCGGGGGGGTTTTTTTTCCGAATAATAATTACAGATTGAATATTTGACTATTTGTGCACACCCCTACTTTCAAGTGTGTGATACAACCATGTATAAAAACACATTCCCTTTGAATCTAGAGTTCATGATTCATGAAGTTACTTGGTTGCTGTCATCTTTAAAATGCTGAAAAAAAAAACACTGTGTAGCCTCTTTGTTCTTGGCTGTTAAAGGTGCAGTAAGCAATTTCTGAGAAACACTATTGAAAGTGGATCAGACCGAACACTAAAACAGACTTTCAGCCAATCACCAATAAGCGGCATGTCCACTCATGATGGGGGAGGTGCCTGTGCTGCATAACATATTTGTGAATTTGGAGGCAGAGCCATCAAGATAAAGGTGTGATCCTTTTGGGTAGGGGCCTTTTTGTTTTAATGACTTCAAATATCAACCGTGTTATCCAGAAATCTCTTACTGCACCTTTAAACTTTCATGAAACCGGATATATCCAATTTTATATTGAGATTTAAAAATCAGGCAATAAAGGGTTAAAAGGAAATACAAATCGCTTAGCATTGCATCTCTACCTCTTCTCATTAGGTTCCACGTCTCTGGATCTCTGCTTTGCCACAAGTTTCGCCATCCTCTTGGCTTTGTTCTTCTGTCGATTGGACATGCCTGGACGAAACTCAGAATCTATGAGCTCTGCAGCTGGCTGAAGAAGAGAACACAAAACTGAACATTTTAATACGATAAGGGCCTCACCTCCACTAATGTGAGCCTTAAAACTCTAAGCTTTGAAGTGTTTGGCATTTGTAAGAGATTGCAGCACCACTCACCAAATGGTTGCGTGAGAATTGACATCCCAGGTTTTTACCAGGCTGTGATCTGTTGGTACTGGAAGCACAAGCGTCCTCCAGGTCCTCATCATTAAATAGCTCCTCTGTGTCCATGCCGATCGCAGCACCCATATCCAATCCCAACTTCTTCTGTAACTGCTTTCTCTGACGGGCCAAACGCTCCTTGGGATCTGTCTCACCTAAAGAACAAAATGCAATCATCACTGAGAACAGCAAAACAAAAAAGTCATCACCAACTAGGGTGTTCTAGTTGTTAGCTTTGAGGTCCAAGTCAAAACTATCTATAATATTATGGTTTCTCAATATCACCCATTTTAGTGTCCACCAGATCAAATCACTTGCGTAGAAAAGCAATAGCACCCCTCAATGAGGTATCATTCATGTCCACAGCACAAATGGTGCAGAACAAACACCACTTATGAATTGGAAAAATCAACGTGTGCATGGACAGATGGAGATGACAAAACACACTTCCAGGGCTCGCAAAATCACTAGCCCAATGTCCCGGGGCTATTTTGTTTTCCAGTCGGGCTACAAAAATGTATCACCACTCTGCCCGACGGGCTATCTTAAATGCAGATCTCCCGCAGGTCCTTAACTCCTAAAGTGAGTTGTATCATACTTAAGGCCATAAAAAGTTTTAAATACGTTAAATGGTATAAGAAATGTCTTAATTATAATTTCAAGAGGTCTTACAGTTGGGGGCGGAAAGACAAGAGTCGCGATTCGGCTGGATAAAACTTCAAAAGGCAATGATGTCATTGAATAAATATGAGCGCTGCACGTTTCAAGTCAAAAAGCAGCACGGATGTCTTTATTTGAATGTATCTGAAGGAAACCGACTGTCCTCAGAAACGTGTCGTTGGCATTTTAATTTCATTTGACCTATAATTCCAGATAAAGCAGTGTTTATGAGCCTGGAGCTGCTTTGTGTACAGCCGTTACTGGGGAAACCGCAATATTTCAGCGCTCCTAAAGCGCCAACTCGTGGCAGAGAATGAATTTGCCTGAATAAGCCTTTCTTGCTGTTTATGGTCAGATCAATGCAAATATCAACTCATGTTTTTACGCAGCAAAGTTGTAAATGAGAAAGAAGTTAATGTGCCTTCTAAAAATCTAAACAATTAAGACAGTAATTGTCAATTTATGCGCTTGATTTATCCCCTTTGCATAAAAATGGTCTAAAAGGCTGAAATGCTGTTGTATAAGATTTTTTGTTTTTGTGAAAACCTGTATCTGAACTGTAAATCATGTAATTTTATGGCTCAATACCTTATGTTACCATAGACATTGTCCAACCCCACTCATACGGTGTTCATTTTATTTGTACAGCTCTTAAAATTGGTCATAAACTGCCTTAAATTTATTTTAAATAATTCTGCAGATACCCTGTAAATAGTGAAATAAAATTCCTTCCTTCATATTTCGTCACCTTGGAATTATAAGGTTCTATCTGCGTTCTGAGCAGTTTTGAGATATTGAGCTTCAAAGTTATTGCATTCCATATAGCAAAAATTTATATGGGGAACAAGTTTCTTTAAAACATGAAAATGACAGGGACCCTAAATGTACAATATCAAAATCCTCTCAAATTTGTAAATGGGGATTTCTGGAATGGGTCAAATGCAGATAGAACCTAAGGTTCTATCTGGCAAAAAAATTTATTGAAGCAATACTTTTCAAGAAACACAAACAGTTTACTTATTTGTTTTAAAACATAAAATGAGTGTTGTAACAATGTGTTGACATGCATGAGAAATTTAATGGTTATGACATTTATTTCATATTTTAAATGAATATTTTTTTCTTGTTCATGTTAAGCATAAAAGGCAGTGCTAAATATTTTGTCCAGTGCAGATGTTAAATTTAGGCAGGAATATGGTGTGTAATTTAACACATTATTGCAGGAACCATTTCAGTTTAAGTTTCCTTTTGTTTAGACAGAAAGCAGCTACTGTAATACATCTGACCAGGACTTTATTCTACAGAAAGTGGGACAGGTAAAATGGCTTTCTCTCTAGACATCAGTATGGCTGAAATAACATGCTAACGTTTATTGTTGTAATTAAGACCCAATCAATTAAATTGTTGACTTTTAAGGCTTAATAATGTAAAATCTTAAACCTTTTAATCTTAAACTTTTTAAGACTAAAAAAACTAAGAAAACAGACAATGCTTCAGCAAAGGTGTTTAACAAAGTTGAATAAACATTGAAAAATGTTTCACTGACTATATATAAATTAAAAATATTTAACATTTAAAATACTTCAACTATGCAACAACTCCGTTTTTACAAACAATATCAAATTTAACATTTCATCTCACTTAATGTAGTATACACTTTAATCCAGTGTGCCACAGCGTAGAGCTTTATAGCTACATAGTACATACAGCTCAGTACAAGTACACAGGATGGATCAAGGTTAAAACATAACCTAATATATACATAACTTTCCCTCGTATGACAATGACGTGACTGGAATAAAGCAAATAGACTACAAAACCCGGACCTATCCTCTTAACAGCGCTGCTGGCTAGCGTGGTGTCTAACTGAAAACAACTCTGCAATAGCTACCGCAAAACATACAAAAAGACTGTAATTCCCTGGAATTTGGGCTGCTGTCATTGACAAGATCCTAAATAGAATAGTCGATCATGAGGTTTCTAATAAACATCACGTTGTGTGAAATTATTTAGTCTTCTCTGATTGGCTCACACAGATAGAACCTTATAAAACCAAGTTAGAGTTTGACTTTGTAGATAGAACCTTTTTGTTTTCTAAAAAAAAAAAAGTCCCAAAATGTACACAACTTAAGAAACATCACATAATGTAAATAAGTTGTCACAGAACATGAATATGTGAATTACTCAATTTTGACAAAAATGTCAGATAGAACCTTATGATTCCAAGCTGACGATTTGTTGATATTTGTGTATTGAAAATATTTTTGATTGACATTTAAACTTTAATATGATTTTCTATATTTAAAAAAAAAAAGAAAAAGAAAAAAGTATTATTTATTTTTTGGGCTAATTAAATACATTTTCGGGCTACCAAAATCTGAAGAGTACCTCCCCGAAGGGCTACCAGGGATTTTGAAATTTTGCAAGCCCTGACTTCTATTCAAATTTCTTTCATACAGACATGCAAATAAACGCACACTTATCACCTACACCTCTTATCCATTTCTACGACAAAGAACGTCAAATGGACAACTGTCAATTTCCTTATTACAGTCAAATTCAATGGTATTCAAATCACACACTTCTTTTTCCTGTAGAGTTAGAAATATTATATGCACAGGCAAAAATAAATTAATTCCAGGTGCATTTGAGTTAATTGACGTCTGTGGTACAAAAGGTGCGGGACGAGTTACACACTAAGCTTTAACACTAGATGTTGAGAATTTTAACAAATTCCAAACACTAAATATAAACAATAGTAACAATCACGTGAACATTACAAATCTGCAGTGTTAACACAAATATGAACAATACAAATACAACCCTACCTGACTTGTCATCTTGCAGCTCGAATTCAGCACCTGCAGAGCCGAGCAGCGATGCTCCGTGCTTGAGCAGACGAGAGATATCAAACCTGTAGAAACTCAGCTTGTCTGAGGAGATGTCCTCTGGAGACATATCTTCTGCACACACCTCTGAGAAGGACAACACGCATTAAAGCATTCGCTCTGCTCAAGACAACCATTAGACAGAAGCTTAAAGCTTGTTAGCTGTTAACGTGCCACATGGCATTACCACTGCAGGAACAAACTGGTGTTGATTTGCATTCGACAGCCTTGATAAAACCACAAAAAATCTATGTAACTATGTGCCTTTCTGTAAAAATCTGACTGCAAAGTCCAAAACATCCAGTTGTCTAGTATTGCTATCTGCCATTATTCAGCTCACCGTCTTTTTGCTTTGGAGCTGGGTTCCATTCTGGAATTTTCTTCACTATGGCTTCGACAGCTTGTCCTGCTGCGATTCGTGTATCCCAATTTGGACTCCTCAAGTAAGTTAAAACCTATTGAACCCAGAGGAAAGGAAAATGGATCAGTAATCTGAAGAGATAAAATTCAGTTACGAGCAGATTTGTTCAAATGTACAAAACGTAGAGAAATAATTAAACTTCCAAACCTTTACTACAATGTTTATGTTAAGAAGTTTCTCTGTAGCATCTTATGGTCTTAAAGGTGACATATCATGAAAATCTGACTTTTCCAGGTTTTAAGTGCTATAATCAGGTCCCCGGTGCATCTACCAACCAAGGAAATGTGAAAAAGATTAAACCCAGTAACTTTGTTTTGGTAAGCCTTTTTCTGCAAGCGTCTGAGAAAACGAGCAAGTCTGATTTCACTCCCTTGGTGGCGCAGCAAAGGGATCTCATTATAATATTACCGCCCCTTAATCTGTAAGTTTCCACCCACGGCGCCATCATTTTGATTTCGCAAGCGACAACGGTGTACCAGCTCTAATGCCAATGGCGAAAGTTTGAGCAAAACATGCCAACTGTTCTGTCTTTGGCTGCACAGACGAGCACAGAACACTGTTTAGAGTCCCAGCCTCAGAGGAGACAACAGAGCAGTGGATTTATTGATTTATTTACTGTATAATGCTGCTGCCACACTGATCTAAAATAAACATGTGATTTATTTCCCAGCAGTTTACCTTCACAGACATAACCGACTGTTTTTGTAACTTCGTATGTGTTTTTAATGTAAACCTGTGTGTGAATGAGAACTTAGTTTAGTACTCACATGCTGTGACAGCCGCTTTCTGTCCGTGTGCTTCGGATGTGTGCGCTCAGAAAACCGTATATCAGTTTAAAACGCATGATTTCAGTGCGATAAACATGATAATCAGAGCCAAAACAGAAGTTTTTAGCAGGTCCAAGCTGTAATGGCGCAGCTCTATTCTGGAAAAGGGGGCGGGGAGCAGCAGCTCATTTGCATTTAAAGAAACAGGCCCGAAAAACAGCGTGTTTCTGCTTCCACTTAAAATAGGCATTTTCAAAATGTTATAATAAATGATCTGTGGAGTGTTTTGAGATTAAACTTCACAGACACATTCTGGGGACAACAGAGACTTATATTACATATTGTAAAAAGGGGCATAATATGTCTCCTTTAAGTTAACCCATTAAAAACGGTTATAGCACCACAAAGGCACACAGGATTGGAGGACACCAAAGAAAAAGTAAAAAAAAAAAAATTCTCAATTCTGATTTGCTTTTCAAATTCAATCTTTAGCGCTACACTGGCATTTTGCAAGTAATTAAGTTAAACAGCATCTACAACTGCTGCTATAGTAATAATGCAAGTGTCAGCATGATGCCAAAAGACTTAATCATACAACAGATCAGTTGTCAGTGTAGAAAAAGAGAACTGGACATTTTGCTTCTGCTCGTCTTATATCTCATTGTGAAACGAGACACACCCATATATATTAGGCATGGGCATTTTTCAAAAATATTGTATTTGAATATTTGGGCTCATAAAAAAAATTAATATTCGAATATCCGTTTATTTAAACGACGTTTGACGAGAAAGACGTTATTTATTAGTAGTCTGTCTATTTTCTTTTTTTTAAGTTTGTGTCACCATTTCTGAACAAGCTTATGATTAGGGATGCACCGATACCGGTATTGGTATCGGGCCCGATACTGAGCTCCTGTACTCGTTAAAATGCCCCGATACCACACAGCATGTGATAAGCGCCATATTCAGACAAAGAAACACCGACAACAGAACAACAGACAGCAGAATGGAGTTAAGGATGTCTACTACGAAGTACATGTATGCAATGAATATAACGTTAAACATTCAGTATTAACGCCTGCATAGCTGATGTGCGCGAGCTGATAAACACAGCACGCTGAGTGGATTGAGCGCGCGGTGGCGCAGATGCGCGAGCTTGTCGAGTGAATATACCTTCCTCACAGACATCACTGGAAAGTTTGTAGTTCGGTCGGATGTGTCAAAAACAAGTAAAACAATGCACAAGTTACTTAACGGTAGAGAGAGAGAGAGAGCGAGAGCGAGAGAGAAAGCGAGCGCGCGCATTTCTGTTGTGTGATCTTTGATGTTCACTCACTTAGCACACGCATGATTTGGATTAAAACTAAATCGTAAAATTAAGACCATTCATAGGGGCATTCACTATAAACATCATTTATTTTCAACATTAGGCATACACGACTTTCTGGTGAAAGTGAATCTACCAGCCTGTACAAAATGCGCTAGTTGTCCCTCTCATTCTGCATCAGTACAAATACCTGCACGCGTCGCGCGTGTTTTGCTTGCTTGAGTGTTTCTGAATTATATGAGTGGCTTTGGAAAATAAATCACAGCACGTTTCAGATGAAAAAAAAGACGACTTCTATTTCTGAAAATTAGTTCAGTTAGGAGATTTATAACGAGTGGTTCACTGCATTATTACAGCAAAACGCGTGATTACAGTACTAAGCCGCTGCAGTGGAGCAGCTCTAATGCTACTAAATTAAAGATGATGTACCATAGAGCAAAAAAAATGAACAGTGAAAGTAATAACAACTTGTAAAATACATTTTAATGGGCATAATTAAGTGTGAAAATAACCGAAGGATATACAGTCAAACCAAAAATTATTCAGAGACCAGATATAATTTTTCATATGCTTTTACTAGTGGGTGCAGGACACTATAGTTAATTTATGTAAGGGAGGATAGCAAAATAAAGTAAACTGTGACAAATCAAACCCAAAAATTCTTCATACAGTGGACTTCCAGTAAAATTGATACAAATTTGGGACCAAAAATTATTCAGACCGCGTCTGGGGAAAAAAAACTGAAGTTCTGGTTTGCATGAAGCTGGATGACAGCATGCCCAGGAGACTACAAGCTGTCATTGAGGCTAAAGGTTGCCTGAATAAGTATTCATAGTTGTGTAAATACTGTCATACTAACAGCTGTCTGAATTTTTGATTGATTGTAATCTATTACATACCTTTCTATCAAAGTTATCTAACATTATCAAGCTGAATTTGTCATTTTATAACCATTTTCTAAACTATAGCGAATAAACTGTGATAATGGGAGAAATGTTGAAGGTGTCTGAATAAATTTTGGTTTGACTGTATCTATTTGATAAATTAAGTTAACTAATAACATTATACATACTCTTTTGGTTTCTGCACCCAATATTTAAATTTTTTTTACAAATATTGGCATCGGCAAGTACCAAAAATAAAAGTATCGGTATCGGGCGAGTACTGGAAAAAGTGGTATCGGTGCATCCCTACTTATGATTAGGCATTACACACAACAATGTTATACAACAACGTTACGTTATATCTCATGGTATTCTTTTAGTTGAAAACGTAAAAAAAATAATAATAATAATAATTAAATATACATACAGTATATATATATATATATATATATTTATTTATTTATTTATTTATTTATTTAAAAGCATACAAGCTCAAGCAGAGCAAACATAAAAAGTAAAGCAGACCATGCCATTTACAGGGCAAAAAATTTTTTTTTCTGTGATCGAATACAATCAACTTGTTAACGCACTCCACAGCGCCACCCAGTTCATTTAGTTACAACTAGACCCGTCACGATAACAACTTTTTGTTGTGCGATATAGTGCCCCAGAAATAAATGCGATAAACGATATTATTGTCATTTTAAGACCATTTTATGCCACTGAATATATAATCATTATATAACAGCATAATAATGCAAGAAGGCCTACACACTTTCAAATGACAACAAACTTTAATTCTTAAGAATATTTAGATCATGGAAATTAAGTCAAAATATTAAATACCTTAAACTTGAATAAATAGGAAATAAACATTTTCCAACAAAAAGTGCAAAGTAACAAGTAGAAAAAAAAAGAAAAAGAAACACCAACAACAGAAAGGAGTTAAGGATGTTTACTACAAAGTATATTTACGCAATGAATATAATGTTAAACATTCAGTATTAATGCCTGTATAGCTGATGTGCGCGAGCTGATAAACACAGCACGCTGAGTGGATTGAGCGCGCGGTGGCGCAGATGCGCGAGCTTGTCGAGTGAATATACCTTCCTCACAGACATCACTGGAAAGTTTGTAGTTCGGTCGGATGTGTCAAAAACAAGTAAAACAATGCACAAGTTACTTAACGGTAGAGAGAGAGAGAGAGCGAGAGCGAGAGAGAAAGCGAGCGCGCGCATTTCTGTTGTGTGATCTTTGATGTTCACTCACTTAGCACACGCATGATTTGGATTAAAACTAAATCGTAAAATTAAGACCATTCATAGGGGCATTCACTATAAACATCATTTATTTTCAACATTAGGCATACACGACTTTCTGGTGAAAGTGAATCTACCAGCCTGTACAAAATGCGCTAGTTGTCCCTCTCATTCTGCATCAGTACAAATACCTGCACGCGTCGCGCGTGTTTTGCTTGCTTGAGTGTTTCTGAATTATATGAGTGGCTTTGGAAAATAAATCACAGCACGTTTCAGATGAAAAAAAAGACGACTTCTATTTCTGAAAATTAGTTCAGTTAGGAGATTTATAACGAGTGGTTCACTGCATTATTACAGCAAAACGCGTGATTACAGTACTAAGCCGCTGCAGTGGAGCAGCTCTAATGCTACTAAATTAAAGATGATGTACCATAGAGCAAAAAAAATGAACAGTGAAAGTAATAACAACTTGTAAAATACATTTTAATGGGCATAATTAAGTGTGAAAATAACCGAAGGATATACAGTGAAACCAAAAATGATTCAGAGACCAGATATAATTTTTTATATTTTTTTACTAGTGGGTGCAGAACTCTAGTTCATTGATGTAAGTGATAGCAAAATAAAGTAAACTGTGACAAATCAAACCCAAAAATTCTTCATACAGTGGACTTCCAGTAAAATTGATACAAATTTGGGACCAAAAATTATTCAGACCGCGTCTGGGGAAAAAAAACTGAAGTTCTGGTTTGCATGAAGCTGGATGACAGCATGCCCAGGAGACTACAAGCTGTCATTGAGGCTAAAGGTTGCCTGAATAAGTATTCATAGTTGTGTAAATACTGTCATACTAACAGCTGTCTGAATTTTTGATTGATTGTAATCTATTACATACCTTTCTATCAAAGTTATCTAACATTATCAAGCTGAATTTGTCATTTTATAACCATTTTCTAAACTATAGCGAATAAACTGTGATAATGGGAGAAATGTTGAAGGTGTCTGAATAAATTTTGGTTTGACTGTATCTATTTGATAAATTAAGTTAACTAATAACATTATACATACTCTTTTTTTTTTTTCTCCCAATATTTAATTTTTTTTTACAAATATTGGCATCGGCAAGTACCAAAAATAAAAGTATCGGTATCGGGCGAGTACTGGAAAAAGTGGTATCGGTGCATCCCTACTTATGATTAGGCATTACACACAACAATGTTATACAACAACGTTACGTTATATCTCATGGTATTCTTTTAGTTGAAAACGTAAAAAAAATAATAATAATATAATAATAATAATTAAATATACATACATATATATATATATATATATTTATTTATTTATTTAAATTAAAAGCATACAAGCTCAAGCAGAGCAAACATAAAAAGTAAAGCAGACCATGCCATTTACAGGGCAAAAAAATTTTTTTTTCTGTGATCGAATACAATCAACTTGTTAACGCACTCCACAGCGCCACCCAGTTCATTTAGTTACTAGACCTGTCACGATAACAACTTTTTGTTGTGCGATATAGTGCCCCAGAAATAAATGCGATAAACGATATTATTGTCATTTTAAGACCATTTTATGCCACTGAATATATAATCATTATATAACAGCATAATAATGCAAGAAGGCCTACACACTTTCAAATGACAACAAACTTTAATTCTTAAGAATATTTAGATCATGGAAATTAAGTCAAAATATTAAATACCTTAAACTTGAATAAATAGGAAATAAACATTTTCCAACAAAAAGTGCAAAGTAACAAGTAGAAAAAAAAAGAAATTCACAAAACTTTTCCATCTACAGATTTTTCCCTGACCTCCTTTTCTCTGTAAATTAAGGGTGCACACTATTATTGAAAAACACAATCCCTACTTATCAGTCAGATGTCCGTATGCACAAAGGCACAGATCCCTAAACAAGGCCATATCCGCAGATTAAACTTTGTTTGTAGAAGCATTTTTTAAATTTGAACTAGCACCTCATGACTACACCACATCATGTGCGAGAAGCTGCAAAAGACACAGGCGCAAGAGGAATGTACAAAACATGGTGACATTAATTTATATGTAAATATAATGGGCAATATATTGCTTGACCAAAAATGATTGAGGTCATGTACATATATTGTGCGACAAGTCAATATATTGATTATTGCAACAGGCCTAGTTACAACTGACTTTTCCGTGCTTAGGATTTATCATGGATTCCCTGCATTTATGGCCAACAAAGTAACAAGTAGTAAAATTCTAATAGTGTCTTTACTTTTCGAATAATATTTACAGATTGAATATTTGACTATTTGTGCACACCCCTAATAAATAGAAAGAGAGAGTTGGATTTTGTTTGAAAACATCAAATTTCATGTGCGTTTCTGAAAATTTAAATCATAAGTGTTTTCGCATTACATATGAGAGCACTGTGAACAACAGACGGCAAGCATGAATTCTGAAACGCTAGGAAACTCGTTCTTCCTGTACAAATACAAACAAGTGCTACTAGTACAAAAAATACAGACATATTAGGGCCTTTCGCACCGCAGGAACCCTTTCATAGTACCAGAACTAATTGTGGAACTACCCACTTTTTGGCGTTTTCGCACCGCCGGAACTGGGAGCGATTTTAGTACCCGTGAAGCAAATAGACATTGATTGGCCAAATGTGTACGAAAACGCCCTCCCCCGACATGATTTAAAACGCCGTATAAACAGTGTCAACTTATTTCGCAAGTATGGAGAACAGCGATAGATGAACGGACACTGAAGTGCAGGCACTTGTAGCAAATGTAGCACTGCCAGTTGTCGTTGGAGATTCTAAGTCCTCCTTTCCATTCTTTCAATCGCTTTACGTATAACCTTACGTCGACTTTCCATGTCCATTATTGTGAAACCCGCGAGACAACAAAAACAGCTCCGATCACAGCGTCCTCCATCCTCCTGTTGTTAATGTTGTTCTTCTTTCTGTTGTTGAACGCCGCGCACAAATGATGTCGCTGTCAACTGGCTTACGTCACTTCTTAGTACACACTCTTGGTGCGAATGCAACTCTTTAAATGGTACTGGGAAATAGTTTGCGCAAAATCGTCCCAGTACTTTAGTACTGTACATTTAGTTCTAAAGCGGTGCGAAAGGCCCTATTGTTCTTTTGACTATCACAACTATTTTTATGAGTTTAATGTGTTTTTTGCTGTTCAAACTACCAAGCGTGTCTGATTTGTCAAAAAGAAAAAGAAAAATCAGATATTGTGTGAGTCTGACTCTGAACCAAGCCTAAACGCTCACCTTTGATAGCAGGTTATTAAGCTCGTGTGGGTGAAGCTTAACAACATCTCCCAACTGCTGAGCAGCTGCTTTACGGGTAACAGGAGTCGTACCTGTATCCAGTAAGATAAACAGACGTTCCAACCTGCAGACAGTGAGACAGGGTGTTTTAATTAACACGATGAAGATCTGACTGGCAGTACAATTCTAAAATGTTATAAATTCATCACTTAAGCCACGGTCACACTACATTTGAAAATTTCTTCACACACTGCAAGGGTCATGGTATGACACAGTCTCTCTCAAAAACATAAATTCAACATCTGACAAATACTAATAAATTCTCCAAATACTAATAAATAATAAACTCCACTTTTCAGCAAATTGGAAGCTTTCCCATACAGTTCAATCACAAAGCGATAGCAAATGTAGCACTGCCAGTTGTCGTTGGAGATTCTAAGTCCTCCTTTCCATTCTTTCAATCGCTTTACGTATAACCTTACGTCGACTTTCCATGTCCATTATTGTGAAACCCGCGAGACAACAAAAACAGCTCCGATCACAGCGTCCTCCATCCTCCTGTTGTTAATGTTGTTCTTCTTTCTGTTGTTGAACGCCGCGCACAAATGATGTCGCTGTCAACTGGCTTACGTCACTTCTTAGTACACACTCTTGGTGCGAATGCAACTCTTTAAATGGTACTGGGAAATAGTTTGCGCAAAATCGTCCCAGTACTTTAGTACTGTACATTTAGTTCTAAAGCGGTGCGAAAGGCCCTATTGTTCTTTTGACTATCACAACTATTTTTATGAGTTTAATGTGTTTTTTGCTGTTCAAACTACCAAGCGTGTCTGATTTGTCAAAAAGAAAAAGAAAAATCAGATATTGTGTGAGTCTGACTCTGAACCAAGCCTAAACGCTCACCTTTGATAGCAGGTTATTAAGCTCGTGTGGGTGAAGCTTAACAACATCTCCCAACTGCTGAGCAGCTGCTTTACGGGTAACAGGAGTCGTACCTGTATCCAGTAAGATAAACAGACGTTCCAACCTGCAGACAGTGAGACAGGGTGTTTTAATTAACACGATGAAGATCTGACTGGCAGTACAATTCTAAAATGTTATAAATTCATCACTTAAGCCACGGTCACACTACATTTGAAAATTTCTTCACACACTGCAAGGGTCATGGTATGACACAGTCTCTCTCAAAAACATAAATTCAACATCTGACAAATACTAATAAATTCTCCAAATACTAATAAATAATAAACTCCACTTTTCAGCAAATTGGAAGCTTTCCCATACAGTTCAATCACAAAGCGATGTGCTAATTAACTGCCGAATTGTTTATCGTCACAAAATGTAAACTATACTATCGCCAAGCAACATGTAAAGTGGGATATACAGTACACCCAACTTTACCCGCATTACTACAGCATTACATATATTTGTATATTAATTATATAAATCAAAAATATACATCTCTATATCTGCTAAATGCTAATATAAAGCAGGATAATATTAAGACAGTACAAACATTAGCTTGTGTATTATGAAAAGCACCGCACAAATAAAACTGACTTGAATTTGATCAGTTTCCCTGGTCAGAGTTCACCAAAGGAATTTTGGTCTGTAGTGAAATTCGCTTCCCAAAATCTCATGAAAAGTAGAGTTTCATTATGATTAGTAAGTTTTCGCGATGCAAAAGAAAGTTTTACATTTAGCTGGGTTTTATTCCTTCTAATAGCACCAGTGGTACTGCACACATATCTCTAATGGGCTGGATGCATTACATTTGTTTACGAACCATTTATTATAACTAAAAGCTGGTCACGTGATCAACGTGGCTTCGCCCATGAGGGGGCGACCCGACCTATGAAGAAAAGATGGTTTCCATGAGGGTATCATTATCATTTCTTTCTTTGCATAAACTTTAATTATTAAAAAATAACCGTATCGGGTAATAACAGACATATCATAGCGGCTTCCCTAACTCACTATAACGCCACATTAATCTACTGCATCAACTGAAGAGACGGATTAGGAGAAATGAGTGTTGCCTTCAGTAAGTCCGGATGTTAAAACGATGTCTTTACCTCACTGACAGAGCCCTACCCGGATGACACTGCGTGGGGTTAGTCCACTAATCACCCGTGGCTTTACACATTAACTGGAGATTTACCAGAGGATAAAGCGAATCATTGTGGCGGACCACAAATGGTTGGATTCATAACGCACAAGCAATATCACGCAAACCACTACTAACACACGATATACTGCATTTGATAGCACATTTTGACAGGTCAAATACTGACATGTTCATTTGTTAGAGGTTATATTGCTTCTGCAGCCTTCGGTTGTGAGGAATTCCGTAAGCTTACTTTAAAACACCGAGCGTTATAGAGATTTGAGCGATAATGTACACATCATACAAGTATTAAGAATTAGAAAATTCAACTGTGGAGACACGTATGGCTCCTGCAAATCAACCATTATCCACCGACTCACCTTGAAACAGCCATACGAGCTGCTCGGGTGTCCGGGTTTGGATCCGGGCTCAGGTTCGGGCTCGCGCTGCTGCTGACCGGACAGGCCCGATCTCTCGCGCACTGCCTCAAAATCGGACTGCTCGCTTATTAAATATTTCCCACAGCGCCAGAAGACGCCGAGTAAGACCTACGCCAGCGTGCAGATTGACTTAGCCCTCAGCACTTCCCCGAAAACGGTATTTTAATCGAATAAACGTGGGGAAATAATTTTGTTGCTCACAAAAGAAAAGCCAGGCGGCTGGTTTTATATGAGGAGCCATCTTGCATTTATTCCTTCCTCCATGGCAGGCGCGCTGTGATTGGTTACATGGGCTTCAACTGACCAATCACAACGCGCTTTTGAGAAGGAAGCACAAAGGACAAGAAAAATATGCTCCGGAAACGCGATTATTAATCTGCTTTTCAGTAGAAATATTTTTTATAATGTTGAGTGGGACACATTTATTTTGTATCTGTTATTATTGCAAATTCGTATTTGAGAGATTTAATAAAATAATTTCAATCGATGATCTGTAACTCTGGCTTACGCATAACTGATGCTAGTGTGCACACTTCATGGAAATTTTCACTTGCATCAAGACAAGCGTCGACTTGAAAAAAGGAAACTAATGAGAAAACTTTTAGGATCACTCCTATGACAAATGGACGTGCATAAATTAGGAAAAACTGTAAGGATATTTATGCATGTAAGTATATGTAAATGTAGCCTATGTGCGTGTTATTTATTTATTTGTTTATTTATTGCTTAAGAAATCAGACCTTTGTTAATGTATTTTTTATTTGAAGAATTATATGTGTCTGTGCTTTTTTCCCCTTAAGAAACATAAATAAAACATTTCTTGACTTTGATGAACGTGGAAATGTATATGCTAATTAATTTCATAATAAATCAACATTTCTTCATGCTAAATTTCTTATCAATTACATTGCAATAAATGTAGGCTAAATATTCTATTTTCTATCCACTCTTTATGATTAAACATAAAACACAGACATTGACTCATTGGATATTCTCTACATTTTATGTCATCAATGGATCTCGAGCGTCTTCATTTTCTATAGAGTCAGTTTTTAACAGTCTATGGTTTCTACATACTAGTGTCTACCGCAGTCTGGTGGTTGATGGTGTCTGCCTCCCTCTGGTGGAGACCGATGTATGAAAATTATAGACTTGCAACAATCCTGTCAACATCTCATCTTGGGAAACCTTAAAAACGTCAGCTGGTGAAATGTTCACCTGTTGGGTGATGACTGCTGACTAATCTCAGTCAGCAGACATTGACTCATTGGATATTCTCTACATTTTATGTCATCATTGGATCTCGAGCGTCTTCATTTTCTATAGAGTCAGTTTTTAACAGTCTATGGTTTCTACATACTAGTGTCTACCGCAGTCTGGTGGTTGATTGATGGTGTCTGCCTCCCTCTGGTGGAGACCGATGTATGAAAATTATAGACTTGCAACAATCCTGTCAACATCTCATCTTGGGAAACCTTAAAAACGTCAGCTGGTGAAATGTTCACCTGTTGGGTGATGACTGCTGACTAATCTCAGTCATGTATTATTTGAAAGTCTATTTTAAAGACGAATGGGCTATATATTGAACAGCAAGAAGCACTGAGAACCATGAAGGCTTGATGCCAAAAATATACAATAGGCCTATCCAATACTGAACTACATGCTGTCCACATTGCATATTTAAATGTTAAGTGTTGTGTTAAAATGGCACCCATGGGTGTTTCAGATTGACAGTGTGACAGCTGATGGAGATTTGTACTTTCAGGTTATTAATTATATTGATGCATATGAAAAACAATTCATCAGTGCACTATTAAATCCTCATTTTTTTGCCTTTTAACTCTTCCTTCACTTCCTTTATGTTAATGTCGAAGGTTTTCTACATTTATTCACCAAAGGCTCCACATCATTTTCTAAAGATGAAAATGAATTTAACATGCTCTAAATGGTTTAGTCCAAATGCTCTGTTGTCATGACAACATTCCTTTGTGTGTATATGTGTGTGTGTGTGTGTGTGTGTTGTTAAAGCATTAAAGGCAGGGTATGTGATTTTTCAAAAACACTTTAGAAAACTGATTCGGGCCGAATAGCAAAACAAACTTGTAGCCAATCAGCAATAAGGGGCTACTCGTGATGTGGAGGAGAGAGTTCAGTGCACATGACGGACATTAGCCGAGCCGAGCGACAGAAAGATAGAGACGGCGGATAAAAAACAAAAGAAGAAAACGTCTGTGGAACGATAAGGCAAGAAGTAGGACCCGTGTCAATATCGGATCAGCTTTCCAGCCCTGGAGAGACTCAAGGAGTGGAGGCCTGCGATCGGACCCCGAGGTTGCTTTGTTTCTTCTCGATAGGTGAGTAAGACCGTGTCTACAACAGCTAAAGTCTGCCTACACTGGATGTGATCAAACGACCGTTGAAAACCATTTGAAATTTGTGTCAGCACGTCATAAATAGAAATCGGCATAAGTTTTCTGTCGGGGATTTGTCGCGCTGCGCCTCACGTCCGTAGACACGGTGTAACATTGGTTTTGCTTTGTTTCACAGAACTAATCGTTGCCTGGGTTGCGTACGTATATATGTGGGGCGGAGCTATCAAAATAGGGGCAAGACCCTTTTGGGGTAGGGGCGTGTTTGGTTTGGTGATTTGATCAAACGACTGCTGAAAACCATTTGAAATTTGTGTCAGCACGTCATAAATAGAAATCGGCATAAGTTTTCTGTCGGGGATTTGTCGTGCTGCGCCGCTCACGTCCGTAGACACGGTGTAACATTGATTTTGCTTTGTTTCACAGAATTAATCGTTGCCTGGGTTGCGTACGTATATGTGGGGCGGAGCTATCAAAATAGGGGCAAGACCCTTTTGGGGTAGGGGCGTGTTTGTTTTGGTGATTTCAAATATCAACATTGGCTACCAGAAATCACTTACCCTGCCTTTAAGCCACTGTTCCAGTTCAGAGGTAGACACTGGTTTTATTGGCCTAAATTCTGTCCATCTGTATCATTACCAAGATCACAGTAATGAAACATTTTTTCTTTCTTTCTGAACAAGAACTGTTCACTGAATGTATTTATATATTATCTATCTCATTGACTTCTCTTCGGAAAACCATTGGCATGAGGAAACCCCTGGTAAGACCAGTTTTTCTAAAAAAAAATCTAGATCATTAAAGTGATAAATAATCACTTTAATAATCTAGGGTAAAAAATGAAGCGTTTAAAAAAAAAATCGCATTTACAGTCAGGTGATCAAAATAGAATATTAAAATATATTACGTTTGTTTGCACTGCATTTTGTGATGATTCCCTACAATTCTAAAATTGTAAGTTCCAATCAAAAGCAAAAAAGTGTTTAAAGACTTGTATAAGTCAGGTCAAGAACTTTTTATTCTCAAGTTCTTTCGAAAAAACAACTGATTTAAACTAGTATCCTGATCTGAAGAACCTACAGAATTGTGTAACGTAATGAAACAACGGCTTGATAAGGAGAGAGTTCTTTGTTGAATGATTTGTGATGCTTGAAGTATATAATGTTGAGCATCACCACTCAGTCTTTTTGATCACATGAATGTAAGACTACAGAAATGACACTTCACATGTGCCATTACCTCTGATGAAACCCTCTTTATAATGAAAACACTGGGGTCTAATTGTTACTCTAAAAATAACGTCAGTAGTCCAGAATTGTGCATCAGTGTGAGTTTCCAGCTCTCACTGTGTGTGGAAAGCTCATGATTGGCTGGCATTGTCGCTTTGGGGTTTGACACGCTGTTAAACCTGTACATCTGGTTCTGTTCATGATCTCTCAGCTTCTTATAAATCACAGAACTGCACAGAGACAAACACACACAAGAAGAACACACAAAGAAACACTCATGCTGTACATTCTGGGGGTAAGTTTACCTGTTAACATCTTTTTATATTATAACCATGTTTTAAAGCTTGTGTCTGGTGTGTGGTATATATTTAACCTAAAAATGCATGCAATATTTTAGGGGACACCAGATCTATCAGTCACAAAGGCTGTATTTCAGTAGCTAAGGTTTTGAGTTTTCTCTAGCAGTCTGTATATGTATGTAAACATATATATTAATATACTTATAAACATACAGAGATATTTAAATGTAATATATAACATTATACACAGTTATTTTAATTTGTAACAATATTTCACAATATACTCTTTTTATAGTATTTTTGATCAAATAAATGCAGCCTTGGGGAGCATGAGATCTTTTTTTTAACTTTTTTTTAAAAATCTTAATTATTCCAGAGTAGTGTGTGTGTCATTTGTATTGTTTCTCTTTCATTTATGCATGTTTATTGAAGTTGGATCTTTTTGCAAACTTTTTTTTTCCTGAATTTTTAATGAAAATGAACATTTTTCTTTCTACAGATTGTTTTGGGGCTAATTAGCATCATCCAGTGCATGTCATATGGTCTGAGTCAGGTGAGAGATAGTGTTTACAAATATTTTCATTACTGGTTAATCTGGATTTAATGCTCAGATTATCTCAGGGAGAAGCAGGCGGTGCAGAATAGTCAGAAGAAAAAAATAAGACAAAAGCAGAGGGAGTTAACACTTACATAATGCTGATGTTATGTTTTATTTTGGTTTTCGTACTGTCTCTAGTTCAAGAAGAGTCTGTCTTCAGCATCTTGGAAACAAGACATTGAACTACATTAAAGTAGTAAATTCAGTAGCTTTTTGAACACTCATCATTATAGAACAGATAGGGACACATATCTTAAAGGGATAGTTCACCCAAAAATGAAAATTCTGTCATCATTTACTCACCCTCATGTCGTTCCAAACTAGGGCTGCACGATAAATCGCATGCGATATTTAACGCGCATCTTGTCAGAAAGCCGGTTCTGTAATCAGCGGTAAATCTCCATCACGTGCGTGCTTTCACATTGAGCAGCATTAACTACACAGAGCCGTTGTTCACTGACGAGCTGCACAAAAAATCAAGCGAATATGAACGTGGTTTTGCGCAGCTCGTCAGTGAACAACTGCTCTGTGTAGTTAATGCTGCTCAATGTGAAAGCACGCACGTGATGGAGATTTACCGCTGATTACAGAACCGGCTTTCTGACAAGATGCGCGTTAAATATCGCATGCGATTTATCGTGCAGCCCTATTCCAAACCTGTATGAGTTGCTTTCTTATGTTGAACAAAAGAAGTTATTTTGAAGATTGCTGGTAATCAAACAGTTGGTGGTTGCCATTGACTTCCATAGTAGGAAAAAAAATACTATGGAAGTCAATGGCAAACACCAACTGTTTGATTGCCAGCAATCTTCAAAATATCTTATTTTGTGTTCAACATAAGAAAGCAACTCATACAGGTTTGGAACGACATGAGGGTGAGTAAATGATGACAGAATTTTCATTTTTGGGTGAACTATCCCTTTAAGGTGGATAAACTGTGTGTTTTAAAGGGGTAATATGATGCTTTTTTAAAGATCATTATTTTGTGTATTTGGTGTAACAGAATATGTTGACATGCTTTAATGTTCAAAAAACACATAATTTTTCAAATACTGTACATTATTGTAGGTCCTCTATGCCCCGCCTCTCTCAAACGCTTCGTTTTCTACAAAGTCCCTCCTTCCGACAAGCGCAGTCTGCTCTGATTGGCCAGCTGACTCAGTGCATTGTGATTGGCCGAACACCGCAAGCACTCGTCGGAAATGTAACGCCCCTTACCATAATCATGAGCTTCATCTTTCAAAATAAATGTAAAGACAGAGCCCGAAAGGGGAACAGAGTCGCGTGACAGACACAGTGATGAAGCTGGTATGTGTTTGCAGTACACAAACCACGGTTAAGACAGCTGACTCCACTGTGATGTGATGTGACGCTCTCTCTCTCTTTATCTCATACACACACACGCGCGCACGCGCACACACACACGATGCGCAAAACTCTGCATTTGAACAGTCAATAGCAAATACTTTAACTAATAACAAAACAGTAGCTGATTCAGAAGCACCAGATTGTCATAGCAAAGTCAGAATGACCTCCTCTCCTAGGTTCACGAAACAACGTATGAGTTCAGCCTTGCGCTTCTTTTGGACTGATGCATGCAACACCCGCTGTTTTGGGTGAACTAACCCTTTAATAAGAAAATACATCAAATGTAATTGTTCAAAAACGTGTAAATGTTCACTAATTCAATGTTGCATTTAAAAATAAATATATATTATATTTTAATATAATATTTATTTTTGTTTTACTAACAAATCTAAATAAACATTTCAAATCATTTTTATAATCGTATTTTTTGCTGAGATTTGAGTGATCTGATTTGCATTATGATTACATGATGTCATCGCACAATGACATCACTACGTCATTTAGCAACTTTTAGCAACAAATTGTCCTGCCTTTAGCAACTTTCCCTGAAAATTAGTTGGCAACACTGTTTTCAAAGCAAAGGTGATACTCAACACAAAATATTTTTCATGTTGTAATATAGTCTATAGCCACATTCACTGCAATATTTATTGACTTAAAAGAACATAGAAGTTCTGTCATCATTTATCAAGTTTCAACTGTTTTCTTTTCCAGAGAAGAAAGAAAGTCATATAAGTTTGGAATGACATGAAGGTAAAAGATAACAATTTTTATTTTTGAGCCAACTATCCATTTGTTCCCATATAAAACACACATAATGGTGCCAAAGGGGAATGATTACAGATTGAACAAAAAACAAACATTGTGTAAACTATTCTTTCATCAGAAGATTAATAAACACATTTTTTTTATATAAATTCCTTCCCATTGAGCATTTTGTTTCATTACTGTTCTGAAAGCCTAGATGGCGACAAAAGCAAATAACACACATTTGAGATTTTAATATTTGAAAAACATGTCTTATGTTCTAGTTTTATTTTAGTTTCATATTGGTGTAGTATTACTCATTTTGCTCTAAAAATGATTCAAACATACCAAAATTTTGGGTTCTCTACACGCGTAGCTTATGGGGACCTTAATAGTCTCAACAGTCTTAATACACTGGCAATTTTTGACAAACAGATTTCACAATGTAAATAAATCAATATCTCATCCTAAATTCAAAATATTGCAAATTTTTGTGTACTTTATCGATTTGGTATATTGAGAAACTTTTAGCAAAAGGTGCTGCATGTACATGTTATCTGGACTCAAAAACATGTGCTTTTGGAGTTTCCATTGTGCATCAACACAGACCAACAAAATTTTTTTTTTACGTAGGCATATTGTTGCTTTACACAATCAACTGATGGACTAGTAAACAAAGTCCTTTTCTATTCTCTGGCCAGATCATATGACTGAACAATTTCCCTTTTCCAAAAGCATCATGTAATCATTTTGCTCCAGCTCCACTTTGTCTCATGTTTTCCATTTCCTGTTACTCACTGCTTCAAGTTCACTACATAGAAAAAAGTGTGCCCAATTACTGATCCACTATAAAGTTCTTTCAGTGTTTGTTTTTATTATCATTGAAAAACATCTGGGCACAATATACATATATTAAATGAAAAAAAAAAACAATACTTGGAGAAAAGTTTTATGCTGTATTGAAACACAAACAATAGTCTGTTAACATGTTGGAGCAGTATCAGAACAATCTTGGAGACTTTCAGAAAACCTGCTCCTTGCTCCTGGCAATAGCACGCAACTCCTCCCCCACTCCACATCGCTCACATGCTCTGTCTCTGGCAGTTCCATTTTTAATTAACTCCTTGTTTTTGTTATGTAAACAACTCTCTATTTACAATATTTATATCAGATAATCATTTCTGAATATAGAACTCCCAATAACTACAAAAGATTCAGAAATGTGTTTCACAGCTACACTATATATACACACACACAGAGAGAAATACCTGCCCTATCAAAAGCTTATTCCAGCCGGAAAAGGTTGAGTTCCTGTTTTGTCACACAGATCATCTGCATAGCTTGTTAAGCCCTGCAGGGATTTCTATTCTCTCAATATAGGCAGCACTCTTTGGTATAATCAGAAGTTATTAGACACTTCGATCCAAGTTTGTGCAGGTTCACAGTTATGAGGTAAAAAAAAATCATCAGGCAAAATCGCTTTCCTCTTATTGTTCATCAATGGAGCCCCTCTTCCAATGGTTTAATTCACGAGGTCTGTGAAAACGCCAAATACAAATGCTTGAGTAATATAGCAAATATAAATTTACATTTAAACATTTAACTTCAGTCTTTTGGATATTGTGCTTTTGGACAATGAATCTATACAACAGACTATCAATATTTTCAGAGCAATTTAAAACATTTGCATGCATAAAAGCACATACAACATTACTAAAAATGATGAATTCATATGAAATAAATTCTACGACCTTAATAGTCTCAACAGTCTTAATACACTGGCAATTTTTGACAAACAGATTTCACAATGTAAATAAATCAATATCTCATCCTAAATTCAAAATATTGCAAATTTTTGTGTACTTTATCGATTTGGTATATTGAGAAACTTTTAGCAAAAGGTGCTGCATGTACATGTTATCTGGACTCAAAAACATGTGCTTTTGGAGTTTCCATTGTGCATCAACACAGACCAACAAAATTTTTTTTTACGTAGGCATATTGTTGCTTTACACAATCAACTGATGGACTAGTAAACAAAGTCTTATCTATTCTCTGGCCAGATCATATGACTGAACAATTTCCCTTTTCCAAAAGCATCATGTAATCATTTTGCTCCAGCTCCACTTTGTCTCATGTTTTCCATTTCCTGTTACTCACTGCTTCAAGTTCACTACATAGAAAAAAGTGTGCCCAATTACTGATCCACTATAAAGTTCTTTCAGTGTTTGTTTTTATTATCATTGAAAAACATCTGGGCACAATATACATATATTAAATGAAAAAAAAAAACAATACTTGGAGAAAAGTTTTATGCTGTATTGAAACACAAACAATAGTCTGTTAACATGTTGGAGCAGTATCAGAACAATCTTGGAGACTTTCAGAAAACTTGCTCCTTGCTCCTGGCAATAGCACGCAACTCCTCCCCCACTCCACATCGCTCACATGCTCTGTCTCTGGCAGTTCCATTTTTAATTAACTCCTTGTTTTTGTTATGTAAACAACTCTCTATTTACAATATTTATATCAGATAATCATTTCTGAATATAGAACTCCCAATAACTACAAAAGATTCAGAAATGTGTTTCACAGCTACACTATATATACACACACACAGAGAGAAATACCTGCCCTATCAAAAGCTTATTCCAGCCGGAAAAGGTTGAGTTCCTGTTTTGTCACACAGATCATCTGCATAGCTTGTTAAGCCCTGCAGGGATTTCTATTCTCTCAATATAGGCAGCACTCTTTGGTATAATCAGAAGTTATTAGACACTTCGATCCAAGTTTGTGCAGGTTCACAGTTATGAGGTAAAAAAAAATCATCAGGCAAAATCGCTTTCCTCTTATTGTTCATCAATGGAGCCCCTCTTCCAATGGTTTAATTCACGAGGTCTGTGAAAACGCCAAATACAAATGCTTGAGTAATATAGCAAATATAAATTTACATTTAAACATTTAACTTCAGTCTTTTGGATATTGTGCTTTTGGACAATGAATCTATACAACAGACTATCAATATTTTCAGAGCAATTTAAAACATTTGCATGCATAAAAGCACATACAACATTACTAAAAATGATGAATTCATATGAAATAAATTCTACAACATACCTCAAAACGGCTGTAGACCTTCCTCTCTTTACGCATTTGCTCCATCTTTTGTAGTAACATCTCCCGCTCTTCTGGTGTAGCCTTGGAGGACCAGGGCCTTCCTGAATTATTTGAAAACAATTTATCTGCAGAGCTAACCTCACCCTTTTTGGCTTCATTGGGTGCAACAAGAGTCTGCTTGGACTGGGAAGATCTGCTTTGGTTCTTTGCTGAAATTTGCTCTAAAAGAACTTTAGTGTCATCTCTAAGGTTGCTGCAAGAGATAACATTTGCAGTAGATGTCTGATGGGCAGACATTATCGATTTTGCATTCTCTGCAACAGAAGACTTACTTGAATTATTTTTTACAGTCAAATGTGACTTTTCTGACACCTCTGCAAAGTTAGTCACAGTGTTTTCTACCTCTGGTGTCGTTTGTTTAAATGTATCAACCTCGTTAGAGTCTGTTGCTGTAGAAACTTCTATGTGAGCTATCTTGGGCCCTGCATCTACAGCTGAAGTGTCATGATTCTGAGTTTGATCTGTGTCCGATTTCTGGCACTCGTCTGTTTTCTCAGGCTTGGAGTCATTTTGACAGCTTGATTCCATAGGGTTTGATGAAAAGCTAGATTGTAATTGTGTTATTCCCTGAGTTGAGTTGATCTCATTCGAGGACAGGCAAGGCTCTGGAGAACCCTGAGACTGAGTTGAGCTCACCTCCACTGAATCAAGACTAGTTAAAGCACCATTGTCTGTGTCTTTAACTGTAGGAGTTACACATGGTTTGGCCCATGCTTGTGTTTGGTTTAGTTCCACTTGGCTATCACAAGGTGTAACAGTTTCAGATTGGGAATGTTTAGCTGGGGAACTTGAGTCTGTGATGACTGCATTTTGAGATATGCTATTTTCTTTTTGAGTACTGTTAGCCTCTGGAATGGGTATTCGTTTGCTAAAGGCTTCGGATAAGTTCTCATCTTTTTTCTCATTCACACAGTCAGACTTTGTTGCAGTGATGTCTTGAAGGGATTCATTTTCTGTTTCAATAGGATGTTTGGAAGTGTCTGTCCACATTTTGGTGGGATTTTGGGAAAACTCACTTTCTGTTATACTGAGCTGCTGGGACGAGTCAGTCTCTGTTGGAACAGACTGCTGGAAAGAGTCTGTGGCTGTTACAGTGTGCTTCTGGGAAGAGTCTGTCTCTTTTGCAGTGGGCTGCTGGGAAGAATCTGTCTCTGTTGCAAAAGACTGCTGGAAGGAGTCTGTGGTTGTTGCAGTGGTCTTCTGGGAAGAGTCTGTGACTGTTGAAGTGGATTTCTGGGAAGTGTCTGTGACTGCTGCAGTGGGCTGAGGGGAAGAATATGTCTCTGTTGCAGTTGGCTGCTGGGAAGAGTCTGTGACTGTGCCTGTTGAAGTGATCTTCTGGGAGCAGTCTTTGTCTGCTGCAGTCGTCTTCTGGGAAAAACCTATCTCTGTTGCAGCGGGCTGCTGAGAAGAGTTTGTGACTGCTGCAGTGGGTTCCTGGAAAGAGTCGGTCTCTGTTGCAGTGGGCTCCTGGGAAGAGTCGGTCTCTGTTGCAGTGGGCTCCCGGGAAGAGTCGGTCTCTGTTGGAGTGGGCTGCTGGGAAGAGTCGGTCTCTTTTGCAGTGGGCTGCTGAGAAGAGTCTGTGACCGCTGCAGTGGGCTCCCGAGAAGAGTCAGTCTCTGTTGCAGTGGGCTGCTGGGAAGAGTTTGTGACTGCTGCAGTGGGCTCCCAAGAAGATTCGGTCTCTGTTGCAGTGGGCTGCTGGGAAGAGTCGGTTTCTGTTGCAGCGGGCTGCTGAGAAGAGTGTGTGACTGCTGCAGTGGGCTCCCGGGAAGAGTCGGTCTCTGTTGCAGTGGGCTGCTGGGAAGAGTCGGTCTCTTTTGCAGTGGGCTGCTGAGAAGAGTCTGTGATTGCTGCAGTGGGCTCCCGGGAAGAGTCGGTCTTTGTTGCAGTGGGCTGCTGGGAAGAGTCTGCCTCTTTTGCAGTGGGCTGCTGGGAAGAATCTGTGCTTGTTGAAGTGGACTTCTGGGAAGTGTCTGTGACAGCTGCAGTGGGCTCAGGGGAAGAATCTGTCTCTGTTGCAGTTGGCTGCTGGGAAGAGTCTGTGTCTGAAGAGTCTGTGACTGTTGCAGTGGGCTGCTGGGAAGAGACTGTGCCTGTTGAAGTGATCTTCTGGGAGCAGTCTTTGTCTGCTGCAGTCGTCTTCTGTGAAAAACCTATCTCTGTTGCAGCGGGCTGCTGAGAAGAGTTTGTGACTGCTGCAGTGGGTTTCCGGGAAGAGTCGGTCTCTGTTCCAGTGGGCTGCTGGGAAGAGTCGATCTCTTTTGCAGTGGGCTGCTGAGAAAAGTCTGTGACTGCTGCAGTGGGCTCCTGGGAAGAGTCAGTCTCTGTTGCAGTGGGCTGCTGGGAAGAGTCGATCTCTTTTGCAGTGGGCTGCTGAGAAAAGTCTGTGACTGCTGCAGTGGGCTCCTGGGAAGAGTCAGTCTCTGTTGCAGTGGGCTCCGTCTGCCTCTTTTGCAGTGGGCTGCTGAGAAGAGTATGTGACTGCTGCAGTGGGCTCCCGGGAAGAGTCGGTCTCTGTTGTAGTGGGCTGCTGGGAAGAGTTGGTCTCTGTTGCAGTGGGCTGCTGGGAAGAGTCTGTGACTGCTGCAGTGGGCTCCCGGGAAGATTTGGTCTCTGTTGCAGTGGGCTGCTGGGAAGAGTCGGTCTCTTTTGCAGTGGGCTGCTGAGAAGAGTCTGTGACTGCTGCAGTGGGCTCCCGGGAAGAGTTGGTCTCTGTTTCAGTGGGCTGCTGGGAAGGGTCGATCTCTGTTGCAGTGGGCTGCTGGGAAGAGTCAGTCTCTGTTACAGTGGACTGCTTAGAAGAGTCAGTGATAGTTTTAGTGGGCTTCTGGAAAGAACCTGTGGTTGTTGCAATGGCCTGTTGAGAAGAGCCTGCCCCCCATAAAGGTAGTTGTTTGAAAGGTTCTGTGGTAAGGTCACTTTTTGTTGTAGTGTGGGACTTGGGAGTGTCTGCCTCTGATGCAGTTAGCTGTTCAATTGCGTCTACCATTGATGCAGTGAGCTTTTGAGAATGGTCTGTGACCGCTGCAGTGGGCTCCCGAGAAGAGTCGGTCTCTGTTGCAGTGGGCTGCTGGGAAGAGTCAGTCTCTGTTGCAGTGGGCTTCTGGGAAGAGTCACTTTCTACTGCAGTGGAGTGTTGGCAAAAGTCTGTCCCAGATTTAGTGGGGGGCTGAAAAGAGTCATCTCCTGTTTCAGTAGGCTGTTGAGAAGAGGCTGCTTTAATTGTGGTGGACTGATGTGACGATTCAATTTTTGCTGCAGTTGGCTGTTGGAAAGAGTCAGTTTCTGTTGTAATAGGGAAGTTTTTTGAAGTTCCACTTTCTGTAGCAGTGGGGTGCAGGGAAAAGTCTTTCCTCACTGCAGCAGGCTGTTGAAAACTGTCTATTTTAGATGCAGCAGTGTGTTGAGAAGAGTCTGCCTCTGCTGAAGTAGATTTTCGTGAGGGTTCACTTCCTGTGGTAGTGGTTGGTTTGGAAGAGTCAAATTCTATTAAGGTATGCTGTTGAGAAGAGTTTTTCTCTGTTGCAGAGTGGTGTTGGAAATACACATTTTCTGCTGTAGATGGTTCAGCCCCTACTGCGGTGGAGTGTTTAGAAAAATCTGCCCCAGTTTCATTGAGGTTCTGAGAAGAGTCTGCCTTTATTGCAGTGGAATGTTTGGTGGAACTAATTCCAGTTGTATGGTAAAATGCTGGGGAGGTAACTGTATCTTTGTGATAATTTTTTGAAGGTACACAAGTATCTACAATTGCAAGGTTTGCTGTTGAATTAGAATCAAGAGGCACAGTATCAGAGCATGTGCCAAAAATATTGGGTAAGCTCTGTGCAAGAGTTTGTGAGTCATTTGCAGATAGACTTCCCTCATTTGGAGTGGTGCGTAGTGATGACACACACTTTGTCTGTGGTAACTTTATAGGCAGACAACTCTCAGTCAGAACGGCATGGGAGGGATCTGTTTCTTTAGAAATACGATATTGGTTGAGGTCAGATTCTGTTGAGGTAGCATCTAATGCAACAGAAACTACTTGATTTTGTGAGGCACAGAGAGGCTTTTGTGAAAAAATGTTTAAAATGGGGGGTGTCTGGTTTTTAGCTGTAGATACTGTTCTTGCCTCTTCTTTTAGAGCTTGATCAATGTCTCCCTTGAAATTTTTTAAAGATGAGCCAGACTCTTTTGCAAGTTTTTTCTTAAATCTAATTTTTTCAGCATCAGTAGCTCTGAGTAGGATGTCTTTACTCGATTCCTCACATTTGGTGTCTTTATAGGTTTCTTTGATATCTGTTACTGTGAAAGGGGTATTTTTTGACTTGAGTGGAGTTTCTGGGATCTTGAAAACATGTCCTGTTGTTTTATCTGCGTCAATAGTTGACGGTTTCTCTGGTAGAGTAAACTTTTGAGTGGCTTTCATAGGATTGCTCTGAGAAGCCTTTGCTGCTTCAAGTTTGCGTTTTGCTGCTAACTCTTTGAAATACCTCAGTCTACAGTCAGGGTCATTCATATCTATGAAAGAAGATGACTTTTGCAATAAATTAGATGGGCATTCATCCCTTTGGCTGTTTGTTTCAGGAACTGTTTGAGGCAGATCTTTTTTTTCCAGATCACCCTTTATTGAATTCTTTCTAAGATTTTGGTAGTTTTCAACCTTATCTACATCAGAATTTTCACCCATTTTGTTCAGTTCATCCTCAGGTTGTGCAGACTCTGAGGCGGAGTTATCAAATGTGGCTGACTTTACATAACTGCTCCACTGGAATGGTTGAAATGGAGAACCAGTCCTCCTTTTATCCAAGATTTGTGACACACGAGCTGAAAGTTTAGAAGCGTCATCTCCATCTTTTTCTCCACCAGCATCTTTCATCTCTTCTGATGCATGCAACTCCAAATTTGAACTGAATATCAGTGAGTGTCTCAGTCTGGAACTTCTCTGGACATGTCGGCTAGGTTTCCTCTTGAGGAACTCTTCACTTATCCGGCTAGTCTCTTTAGGCTCTCTATTCTGCGTCTCCTCCACTTTGTCTCCCTCAGTGGTGCAAGAAGACTCTGAAGTTGATGCTGGTGTTGTTTTGATATTTATTTGTGATAAGTCAGATGGATGATTAACTGAACTGTCAGGCACAATATAATTATTCTGAATTTGGACAAACATGGGATTTTCCCTAGGTGAAGGTATCCTGTTAAACTCTCTATTTCCTAGTCTAATTTCAGCACGTATGGGGCCAAAAGGAGCTTCCTGCGTAAAACATGGAATGTCATCACATGCAGTGGATCCTTCAAGTTCAGCTAAATCCAGCTCTCCTGCATCATCATATGCACTAAGGTATGAGCTGATCCTCCAGTCCCGCAGGCCTTGCTTTTGACTCACATCCTGTGCTTTGCGGTTTACATTGAAGAAACATTTCTGTTCTGGCGGGTTTGGTTGTGTTGGGGAGGTCTGACATGTATAAGACTGTCCCATGCTATGTCTCTTGAGATTGGACTGCACAGGTGGTAATACATTTCTTGGACCATGTCCTTCTTCCATAGCAGGGTGAGACTGCAAGTATCTTTGAATATGGTCATAAGCTCCAGGTGGTTCATCCTCTTCTCCCTCATGAGGGTAGCCAGGCCCTGAAAACTGATCAATGTGTTGGCCTTGGCCTCTAAACCTTCCATACATGTCATAACCAGATTGTAATCCAGCTCCCTTGTGAATACATGGTTCCTGTGCAAAGTGTCCACCATGGGGAATTGCTCCCTCTGTGTACTGCTTTCCTCTTATTGTTGGATGGTTTTGAGGGGGCATGTATTCATAATCAGGAATATTTCCACTGCTATGTCTTTTGAAGCCAACCGTTTCATTTGGTCCTCTCATTTGCCTTCCATGCTCCCTAAATTGATCGTCCCCTCTATATTTCTGGACAGCATGCAGGTTCATATTCCTCTGAACAGAGGGATTTGCTTCTGCTGCACTGTGGATGGATTCACTCCTAAAGGGTAACATTTTGTAACCCAATTTCATATGATCTTCTGTAGTACGCCCAGCCCATTCCATGCCCATAGTTGGATATTCTCTGTTAAATATGTGGGTCTTTTCTGTGTTGTAGTAGCTTTTGGGTTCTCCACTAGAGTGTGGCATATTTGCCAAAACATTTTCAACAACCAGTGGCTCTGAATGGGCAAAGAGAATCCGAAACTCTTCATCAAAGGTGGTTACAAGCTGTCCCAGAAAGAGATGAGCAAGACAGCGATGTATCTTCTCAAAAGACCACATGAAGCTGCAACACAAAATGAGAAAATGTATTAGCCAACACATATTAACTGACCATACCAACCTCAGAACACAATATATACTAAAAAAACATATATTTCACATATAATCATTATAAATTCAAAATATTTTTATGCTTTACAAAAAAACATTAAAAGATAAAATGTACCTACCTATAGTTGCCACTTAAAACAGCTCTGCAGTCTACCAGTATAAAGCGATCCATCATCTGACCTTTGAAGGTCTTTCCTGTTCGGCAGTAGTAGGTACTACCAGACACAATTCTTACCCGCATGAACTGCAAGTAAACAGGATATTAATGCATTTGCACCAGTTTAAAACAACCACATTTTAAGTGTCTTTTAAAGTGTACCACCTAATGGTAAAAAAATTGTAAAGTCTTAATAACGCTCACATATATGGTTCATACAAAATTCTCATAATAAGTATGTAACAGTACTTTCCTATTATTTCTATCATAGGAAATTATATTTCTATCATATTCATAATATTTCTGTTTCATGATTGGAAAAATAAATAAATAAATAAATAAAAAAAAATCAATGCTAAGGCCATTAATTCATAGGCTGATTTTGAGTAAATTCTATAAAGTAGTAAATCTATAAATCATTAGAAAATAGCTCCAAAACACTCTTGGACTACTCAACTTGTGATAAACACCTATGAAAAGTACCTACTTTCTACCACCTAATGGTAAAAAAATTGTAAAGTCTTAATAACGCTCACATATATGGTTCATACAAAATTCTCATAATAAGTATGTAACAGTACGTTCCTATTATTTCTATCATAGGAAATTATATTTCTATCATATTCATAATATTTCTGTTTCATGATTGGAAAAATAAATAAATAAATACATTTAAAAAAATTCAATGCTAAGGCCATTAATTCATAGGCTGATTTTGAGTAAATTCTATAAAGTAGTAAATCTATAAATCATTAGAAAATAGCTCCAAAACACTCTTGGACTACTCAACTTGTGATAAACACCTATGAAAAGTACCTACTTTTATTTCATCCAGATTCACCCTACAGTTGTTTACCATCGCAACAAAATGGTGAGCATTCAGTTCATCAAGAAGAACATAAACAGCAACACCACGTGTCGCTGCACCAAGGATATCAGCAAAGATGTCAACATCTGTAAACATATCCATTACCACAGCGATAACCTAGAACAAGAAATAATAAATATATATATTACTCAAAGAAAAAAAAACATTATGCATTGCAGTGATATCATATAAAGTTTCAGTTCTTTTTTTTTTCTTTTCAGCTTTTTCCCCCCTTATCATTTTAACCATACATAAATGACAAAGAGGCCAATATCAGATGAAGAGAGGTGAAGGGCAGGGAAGACTGTCTACTTTTATGTTTACTTAAGATTTCAGTTTACCAGATTGTCAACAATGATGGCCCAGTCTATTTTACATTAGGCAGAAGTTCAATCAAGAAACAGTGCCAAAGAAAAAAGAAAGAAAGAAAAAAAACACAATCTGAAATGTAAACTGGTTCAACTGTGAATTCAGTCTAGCAAGAACATTTTGGAGAGAAAACAAAAAAAGTCTGCTATGGGAAGTCTGCATGATATTATTACAGTACAGAGGCATACTGTTGTGAATGGCATTACTATAGGCAACAGTGCATGCCATTTCATGCCATCATTGATCACACCAACTATTATGATATTAAATGACAGTTCTTGTGTCAATTAGGCATAAAATCAAAATTTTTCATTTAGCACCTTTGGGCAAATTGAAACAAGAAACTTGTATTTTTTTGGAATTGAATTAACTGGACGTTATAATCTCTAAATTGAAATAAGTTAATTAATTTGTGTTTGCCAATTAAACCAAATTTCTCATTAGACTCTACAACACTAATGAGTGCATAGTAGCTGTCAATATGTCAAGTTTAGAATGAAAGACCAACGGTGAAACTTGTGTGACCAGTCTGCCATACAAAGTTCTTACTGTTTACTTGTGAAAACAGTACCAAAGCGATTAAAATCACTGAGCAATAAGGGAAGACAGTCTGTATTTACTGACTTCTGTCATGCACTAATAATATTGTATATTACTGCACTTGGGCAGCATGCAAAACTCACTTGTTGTGCATTCTTGATCATTCTGCGGACTTGCTCCTTGATACTGGGCATCTCAGGATCAGACGGATTCACCAACGTAGTGACCTCAGTGGGTCCGACAAATCTGAATTGCTGCGGCCATCCTAGGTCCAGGCTCGGAGCATCATGGTCTGAGTGTACCGGCCAGTAAGTGTCAGAAGAGCCATCTACATCTTCAGCCATGTATCGCCTCTCTGGTTTGGCAATGTGATGTGGAGCCTGCACCATGCATTTGATATACTCAATCTCTGAACGGGATAAGAAATCAACCACATCTGCTTCCTGAAGAAAGCCATAGTAGCCCTCCAAATCAGCTTCAACCAGGGTGTCAATCGCCATTCGGTATTCCTCACGGTAATGAGGGGTCAGGTAGTTGGGGTCCAGGGGATTGTCCCCGGCAGAGGAGCACTGGGAACGATGAGCCATATTTACACCTGCACCAATGCAGACAGATTAACAACAGAAGAAAAAAGATAATACACATTAATTCCACATGAGGGCAACATCTGTTTGCTCCCCAAGTACATTAAACATATGAGAATCAAACATGTGCCTAGATTATTGTAGGTGCACACATTTTTATACAAGCAAACAAACCAAAATAATTATGATGGATATATTTAAAATCTAATTTAAATAAATGAAAAATACTGCTCACATAAATGGAAACGTGTAGGAGGATTTTTTAAGACCTAACCCAATGTCTATTTCAATGATTTTTTTGAGTAGTTAAATGTTATTTATTTAGTCATCCAGTGACATCCAAATCACTAAGAATGGATGTTATTAATAACTCAATATATAAATGTTACAAAAAGCCAGAAACCTAATGTTACATTTATACCCCAAACTACACAAGTCATAATATCACACTATGATTTTAGTTTCAGAAAATTTCTGAAATAACTGTTAAATTGGTCACAAGCTGATTTTTAATTTTTTATCATTCTCAGTTATAGTTATTTATGGTCATCATGCATTTAGGGTAGAAATAAAACAGTCATAATTGTGTGTCATTGCAACCTAATTAAGGTCTGAAAGGGTTAAATACAATATGGATACTAAAACAGAAGAAAAAAAATAAACGACCACGGCGTCCATTTCAAGTCTAAAAGCCACATTAAAGTTAGTTAGTCTTAATCTTAGTTAACACGTCAAGTGAAAAGATCTCTGGGCTTTCTATTAAATCTATTCTATTATAATGTCAGCCAAACAGCACGAATCCTGTACTTTATCAGCAAATCATTAAGAATTCATCTGAAAAGATCTCACATCTGCTTCAACAAACCCGGGGTGTGTCGCAGCAACAGAGAGCCCACCATGTAGGGGCTAAACTTGTCCGATTTTTTCCACTTGTATTTATTTAAATACAAATCATCGATTGTTAACTTCTCCACAAACATGTTTTCTTTCTCACGAGGATCGACGCGACTCCGTTACATTTTATAGTCGCGAATCGTGAAGCTCTCAAAGCTTCGCGAACTTACTGCTAAGCATCAAAAATGTACAATTATGAAATATAATGACGTGTTAAAGTTTTCTCACATAGATTTAAACTCAACTTACCAGTCTAAAGTACCGTTTCCCCTTAATGCCTTGTGTAAAATCCCCTCATCGATGTAAGACCGTCATGACGACCGACAGACGTTTTAACTTTCAACTCCAGTTGAAGAAGAGGACGACATACACACTCACACTCACACACACACACACACACACTCACACTCACACACACTCACACACACACACTCACACACACACACTCACACATACGCAGGTTTGTTTTTATGGTTTATGGGGGACTCTCCATAGGCGTAATGGTTTTTCTACTGTACAGACCGTATATTCTATTGCCCTACACCAACCCTACCCCTAAACCTACCCCTTACAGGAAACTTTCTGCATTTTTAGATTTTCAAAAAAAACCAATTCTGAATTATTTATAAGCCTTCTGAATTACGGGGACACTGAAAATGTCCTCATAAATCCCCTTCTCGTTGTAATACCTATGTCATACCCGTGTTATTATACAAATTTGTGTCCTCATAAACCACATAAACATGCACACACACACACACACACACATCAGCCAACACACACACACACTGACGCATACACGCACGCACACAGGCGAAACCTGTTTGTGTTTGCCCGCAAGACAAAAGAATGATACAGTCATGCTCAAAATAAGCGCGTGTCCATCTTTTTAAAAACCAATAAACTTAGGCTACTTGAGTTTCTGAGTGGAAGTTGTTAAGGACAGACAGATTACATGACATGATTGATTCCATAACATTATTGATTTCCATATGAGTATATGCAAAGTTAATCATTCTCAATTCTAGTCAATCTTTAACTAAACAACACATGGTCCTGATAACAAAGCCTTGATCTGGAGCTCAAATACACACAAATTGGAGAATAGCCTCTATGTTGGCTGACCAGTCAGTCAGAGGTCACAGCAATAACACAGCTCTTCAGACACTATACCAATACATATCATATCATCAGTACTGAATTCATTTAATGCTCTTAATTTAACTCCTGAACTCATTTAATAGTAAACAATTTAGGCTAATTGCAGTAGGTCTGAATTGTAGGAATTCTAATGCACAAATAATACTGATTAAAGTAACAAGAACTTATTTAGACAAGGCCATACAACTTTTATGAACATTCCTTATGTCAAATCTGGATAACCAGTGATTTATTTTATTTTGTATATAACTAAATTGTTATCTTTGTATGCGCAATTGAAGCGCAGATGAAATAATGGGGTCAAATGAGACTGAACTTGTTTGGCTGGAACAGATAACTTCTGTAAATACAGCAGGGTCAGAAAAAAAAGAACATAGTCTATGTGAACAAAAATATGTGATGGGTAGCAACTAATTACTTTACTTACTTTACTTATACTTTTAGACATTTAGCAGACACTTTTATCCAAAGCGACTTACAAATAAGAACAAGTAATTAAAACTAAAAGCTAAAACTCTATAAATACTATATATATACACATTTAAGAAAATAAAATAAATTAAAAATGACAAATGCATACAACATTTCAAAACTAAACATTTAAATGAAAACAAAAAAATAAAGCTAAAAACAAAAGGTATGAGTATAATAATGATTCTAACATAACACTAAGCCCAACACCAAAAAACAACTACATGTGTGTATGTACAGCCACACACATATACATGTACATATAAAAACATTCAATATATATATATATATATATATATATTATTTCATTTCCATTTTGTATGTTGAAGTACTGAAATAACTCAAATAAAATAAAAATAAAACTTAATAAAAAACCTATATAGACATAATAAAAAAAAACTAATAAAATGACGACATTACTACAACTGTAACTAAAACTAAAATAGATAACTAATACAAATCAAACTACAGTAGTTTATCAGTAATCCTAAAAAATCCTGCTATATACATAATTTATCACTATGCATGTTATATATTTATATAAGAACATACTGTATATAACAACGTACTTTAAATAATTGATCAGTATGCATGTTCCTTGTAATGCAATGTAAAATTTCCCTTCATGTTATGCAGGAAGAAGCTATTTAAGTTCCCAGTGACTTGTGGGCGGGTAGATGATGACAGGATTTTCAATTCAAAGCAAATGATCTGTGGAAGACATGACTCGATTGAACTAACTACATTTTTAAAACATACTACAACTGTGCAATTTATCAAAAGATATTACAAATGTTCTTTGGAAGTTGCATTTAAAATCCAGTAGGCTCAACTATCTTACTGGATATGTGCTGAATAAGCATTATGTTTCTGCTGAAAGCATAATGCTCTAAAATAACACATACACAGTGTTATTGTTATAATCTTGTTTGCAGAGTTTCAGAATAAGGGTGTGACTTTTATGTATATGCCAGCGTCACCGTGGGCAACGGAGATGAAATCACATAATATCTATGCCAGAAGGTCTTCGATGGGGTTTATCTGGAAGCGATTAATCTTAGCCACCATGTGCGATCACTTCACTTCTAACTTTAAACCCAATGCTTTGCCACAAAATGCTTGAACATTTCTCAAACCGCGTTGTCAAATTCACCTCAATTTTAAGTGTGCATAACTGTGTGACAGTCTATTTTGATTAAGGCTAAAAATGTTCCATATAAATTACATTTTAATTGTATTTTTTTATTGCACTGATGTGCTAATATATATTGTTGACAGCTCCTCAAACAAAAACAGTCTGTTTAAAACTTAAACTTTGATTTATAGTCTGTACACAAACTCAAGCTCACATTTATTAGATAGTAAGCGCTATTGATCCAATGTTTGTAAAGCTTGAATTCTATAATGCTGTTGCATATGAATTAGTTTCTCTTCCAAGTAAAACTTGGCTAGGGGAGGGCTACAGGACATGATGTCATTTCTCAAGTGCATGCCTGAACAATCCTGCATTGTTTCAACAGACACCGCCTAAAGCACATACTGCAAGCAGCGTTAAGGGTGAAAATGTACGTGAACTCATATCTAAAAACATTCCAAGTACAGAAGTCACATGTTTTCACAGATATCACTTCACAGCTAACCCTCATGTGTTTATACCTGTTGTGCACATCACAGATCTTTAATGCTGAAATGTCTTGACAAGCACAGATTTCTTTTTTTGTGCTGAAACATGAAAAGGACATATCAAAGGCGTAGCCCCTTTTATTATAAAATAATCAATAGCCATTAGTTGACTCACAGTCGATGCTACTTGTTGCTGCAAGTCAGAGGTAGGTGGTATTCATGGGCAGGGCATTCTTATCTTAAAGAGCATTTGATTGGACAAAAATATAGCTACGTTATAAATACCAAGGGGTGAAGGTTTGGCTGTTTAGCATGGTCCAGCTAACCCCTACTGGGAGATGCTGTAACTTTATGGAAGCTTGTTTCCGCCACAGGATAACAGGATAGCACAGGATAGAATTTTTTAGCAAGCAACATATATTGCAAACAGTTCATTATTCTATAGTTATATATGTTTCACCAGTGGCCAAATGATTTTGAACGGCACTTAAATGCACAAAATTGACTTATTTTGCATATGCAGAATATATTCACAGATATGAAAATGTTTGAGAAAACGATTTTCTGTAGTATTTGTATCGGAGGCATTTGACCAGCTAACATTCTGCATTGTGCCTGCATGTACTGTAGTTCTCCATCTCTAAGTGCATCTACAAAAGATGCTGTAAGCCTTTGCACACAAACAATATGAAAATAATGTTTTGGCCTGCAGCCAGATCCATGCAAATGAGATCACTCCATCATTTTGTCAGAATCCGGTTGAATATTATTTGCATGCATTGAAAAGAGAGGTGGGACTGTAGCAGCACTAATACAAATTGAACAGCATCTATATGTGAAGGTAATGTCGTCAAATTGTTGATGTTTCTTCAACTATTGGCACGTCTGGCCCAATAAACAATATTCAAATAATAAATTGATTTAAATATTTTTGGAATACACTGACCAACTCTATTATCTAACTAAGGCTAACCTCACAGCCAAAAACATACCCTAAAATATATAATTTTCTTCATCACTCTCCTGAGGTAAAAGTAGAAAGACTGTACGAAATTAGTATACAGGATTTATTATACGTAATTTATGGGACAAAAATACATTTTCACATCTGGCTTATAATTTGATTTGTAGACATGTTAATGGAAGGGAAATGAATCAGCAGGGTGTCATGATTGATAAAATTAGATATCTAACATCCTCACAAGTTTTTACAAAACAACAAAACTTGAATGACCATCACTGTTTAGAAGGGGAGGGTTGTAACAACTTTCCAAAGTACTTACTTGGCTCACAAAGACTGCATAAAATAGGCCAGTGTATATTTGACACAATTCTGTCTAGACATTTTATGTTTTGATTCCAATTTGTTTGCACTTTTGAATAGGAGATCTCCTTGTGTGTGTTTTATCCCCTATTTTGAATAAAAATGCTTAAAATAAAATTAACAGTGGGGTAGGAAGTAACAACAGTATTATTTTCTTTACACTCATTTACAATTTACAGAGTAGGAATTCTTAACTACATTAATCTGGTTTAGATAAAGTGGAAATATTATATCAACTTTAAAACATAAGGACAGAAGAAACAAGGTCTGAAAAACATTCCCATCTCTTCTGTCCCCGTTCATTCTCTCTAACACTCTTACCTGCACTTGCATTTTTCCTCATGAGCAGCTACTGGGAAGGGTGTCTAAGTCATATCATGTAACCAATCTGAGGTGCTTCAGGGTTCAGTGCTCGGCCCGCTTCTTTTCTCAATTTACCAATCCTCTTCATCATAAAAGTATACACTTCTCCAATGGTTCTTAACCTGGGGGTCTGATGACATGATAACCAGATGACGTTGAATAAACAGATTAAACATTAAAATGATTAATTTTATATATATATAAAATGTAAACACTTACAACCCAAGCATATCAGCAGTTTCAGACTAGCTGTGTTACAAGTGTGACCAATTTTGCACTTAGAGGAAAATGTACTTCTTGGGGAAAAAAATCTAATTTGTGTAAAGATCTTTGTATATAATTAACCCCCTTTTATTTTTAACTCTTCTTTTTATATTTCAGGTGTGCAAGTGTTTATGTACATGCAGATAAATACAGA